TTGGTGCAGAGGACAGACGGAAATAAGTGGAGAGGGGTAGGTCGTACCTGGGTTAGAGGGGTTTGGATGGATCCTTCAACAAATAAGCAGTGGAGGGAAATGAAAGATTTAACTTTTTCTATAAGTAGCACATCCTCTTTGTAAAAATTAAATAAATGTAAATGTTAAAAAGAATTACTAACCCATGGCTACAGTCACTTCACATTTCAGTAAATATTCTTACAGAGGTTTTTCTTTGTGTGTGATGTACTTTTAAAAATGAGAGCATACTGCCCTAACTGGTTTGGCTCAGTGGATAGAGCGTCGGTCTGCGGACTGAAAGGTCCCAGGTTCGATTCCGGTCAAGGGCATGTACCTTGATTGCAGGCACATCCCCAGTAGGGGGTGTGCAGGAGGCAGCTGATCGTTATTTCTAACTTTCTATCCCTCGCCTTTCTTCTCTGTAAACAACCAATAAAATATATATACTTTTTTAAAAAATGAGAGCATACTATATATTCTTTTTCATGTAACAGTGTGATGTAAGAATTTCCAGGAAGTTTAAGCCTCTCCCTAGCTATGCCTAGCACAGAATAGTAACAATAATAATAGTTATGCAGCGTCATCCCAGTATGCCAAGGTTGCGGGTTTGGGACCCTGGTCAGGGCCCACACAAGAGCCAACCAGTGAATGTGTAAATAGGTAGAACAGCAAATCGATGTTTTTCTCTCTAAAGTCAGTTTTTAAATATATATTTATATTGATTTCAGAGAGGAAGAGAGAGGGAGAGAGAGATAGAAACATCAATGATGAGAGAATATGATTGATTGGCTGCCTTCTGCACTCTCCCTACTGGGGATGGAGCCCGCAACTCGGGTATGTGCCCTGGACTGGAATTGAACCCGGGATCCTTCAGTCCACAGGCTGACGCTCTTATCCACTGAGCCAAACCAGCTAGGGCTAAAGTCGATTTTTAAAAAAATATATATTTTATTGATTTTACACAGAGAGGAATTGAGAGGGACAGAGAGTTAGAAACGTTGATGAGAGAGAAACATCAACCAGCTGCCTCTTGCACCCCCCCCCCCCCCACTGGGAATGTGCCCTCAATCAAGGTACATGCCCTTGACTGGAATTGAACCCAGGACCTTTCAGTCCCCAGGCCGACGCTCTATCCACTGAGCCAAACCGGTCCCGGCTAAAGTCGATTTTTAAGAAATAACAGTAACGTCGTGGAACTTGCTGAGCACCACTGCCCTGTGAAGTAGGTGTGGGTGCTGTTCCCATTTTACAGGTGATGACTGTGAGCACAGAGGGGGTGAGTGAGTTGCCCAAGGTCCCACATCCTGTAAGTGGTGTAGCCTGGATCGGAACCCTGGCCGTCTGCCTTGTTCAGTATGGTAGCCACCAACCACATGCGGCTGTTTACATTTAAATTATTTAAAATTAAATAAACTTTAAAAATCCCTCAGTCGAACTAACCACGTGTCAAGTGTTCGACAGCCACCTGTGGCTCCTGGCTCCTGTAGGAGACAGCACAGATACCGCAGGAAGTTCCGTCCGCAGCACTATGTAGTCTTTGCTCTCTCTCTCTCTCTTTTTTTTTTTTTTTAATTTATTGATTTTTTACAGAGAGGAAAGGAGAGAGATAGAGAGCTAGAAACATCGATGAGAGATTAACATCAACCAACTGCCTCTTGCACACCCCCTACCGGGGATGTGCCCGCAACCAAGGTACATGCCCTTGGCCGGAATTGAACCTGGGACCTTTCAGTCAGCAGACTGACGCTCTATCCACTGAGCCAAACCGGTTTCGGCTAGTCTTTGCTCTTAACCAGTCCTGCAACATCTTTTAAATGGCTCCGTAGAATTCCACAATATGAATGCGCTGTAACTCTCTCTTCCTCCTTTTAAGCTTGGAAGACACTTAGAATTGTTCATTATGAAAAGTCACAGAGCTAAATCGTTTTAAACCCCGTCATTATGCCTTCAAATGAAATTGCTGGGCCCAGAAGGGTGTTTGTTTTTTTTTGAGCAGAGAAGTGATGTAACAAAACCAGTGTTTTGAAGCAATAATTCTGGCGGCCATCAGGGAGGATAGAGTGGGCAAGGGAGACCTTGGGGGTCCGAGTAACGGACGAGGGATGGTGACAGCCACCCCCTGCACACCCGCCCTCCGTTACTCCTCACACAACCTGAGGATGGTCCGCACCGTCCCCAGTGCCCGAGGCGGCGGGAGCACAGTCAGGAGCATGCCCACGTCAGTCGGTGAAAGGCAGGGGACCCCGTTGTCTTGCTGACTACCTTCCGCTCCTAAGTTCTGTGGCAGGAATTCAGACGTGAGACCGTGGAGGACTGAAATAAGGTGGTAGCACAAGTGGGAAGAAGGCTCAGTTTTGAGAGCTGTACCTGTTCATGGTAATTTCCCACACAGCGAGCTTTCCGTTCCTAAAGCCCCGTTAGACCTGCCCTCCTGTTTCTGAAGGAGGAGCTGACGGTCTGCAGCAAGAGGGTACCGCCAATGACAGGCTGACCACAAGCCAAATCCTGTTTGTGGGTAGTTTGCGAGCTTTAACATTAAATTTTAAAGGGTGGGAGAAAAAAATCAAAAGATTAATATTTGGTGATGTGAAAGTATATGAATTCAGATTTTGGTATTTCCCATAAATAAGGTTTTTGGGGACACAGCTACAGCCTTTTGCTCTCATGGGCCGTGCTGCTTTCATGCTACAGGGCAGCCTGCACAGCCCGAAATACTTACCATCCGGCCCCTTTAGGAGGGGAGGGTTGGCCCTGGGCACCACAGGCTTGGAGTTGGGAACTGAGGGTGAGGTGTTGCGCAGAAAGACTGATGGAAAAGATATTTTTAAAAAGTGAATGTTAGTGTCCAGAGAAAAGCAAAAGTTGAGGCTATTTATTATCTCAGAAAGGATGTGAGTTTATGAGGTAGGGCTGGCTGTGGGCTTTCCCCCAGAGAACTTTGGCTAAACTTTTTTTTAATTTCTCTAAGTGGAAGACAGAAGCAGCATACCATTCCTGCCTCGTGGCATTCTCTCTTCTTCTAATAGTCCATGGTGCTTTTCTCTGGAGCTATGACAAAAAAGACCTGATTTTTGGTCTTGGGTATGAATCAAATCTCACAAGTAGCTTTACTTTTGGATGGTGACCCCAGTTATGAAAAGAAATGGTAAAAATTTGCCTTTGTTCCTACCTCTCCCTTTCCCAAAAGAACAAAGGTAAGGTAAGTAATAAAGGAGTGATAAGAAGGAAATTCTTGATCTCCTTTGTTTTGAATTGAGGTGAGCTGAGAAGAGGTATGAAAATGGAAAGTGCTTCCTGATGAGGAGTGTTTGAGTTTCAGAACAATCGGCCACATTTGTTTCTCATTGACTGCTGCAGAAGCAGAGGTGCCAGGCAGATCCAGTCCTTCATTGCAGTTCACTTAGTTCTCAATTCCTCTCTTAAACTGAGGGCTGGTCTCATTCTAATCGCTGTTTTGCTTCCAATTAATGGGAGTTTATTAAAAAGAAGACACTAGCCGAAGCCGGTTTGGCTCAGTGGATAGAGCGTTGGTCTGCGGACTGAAAAGTCCCGGGTTCGATTCCGGTCAAGGGCATGTACCTTGGTTGTGGGCACATCCCCAGTAGGGGATGTGCAGGAGGCAGCTGATCGGTGTTTCTTTCTCATCGATGTTTCTAACTCTGTCCCTCTCTCTTTCTCTCTGTGAAAAATTAATAAAATATATTTAAAAAAGAAGACACTGTATAATTCATCAAGCTGGTCATTATGCCTTTTTATATCTATTTTAATAAGTACTAACTTAAATTCTCACCAATATGAGATATGGCAAGAAGCCTGTTTAAGACTATTAAAACATTCTCCAGTCTAGACAATACACTATATTACACATCTGGATAAGAATTTTTTCATTGAGTTTATTTGTTACAAGTAAGGAAATTATGATACTTAAGGTTGTATCAATTTGACATTTTTTGGGGGTGGAAATGTGTAGTTCAGTTTTCATTCAAGAATTTAACCACTTAATTTTTCCTCCCCCAGGATTACTGCGTAACAGTTTATACAAATATTCATTTAGACAAAATGAGGACACCTAATATTAATCTATTTTTTTATAGATTTGCTCATTTTTGGTTTTCTACTTTAATAATAATATAACTATATTGTAGAAGATTTAGAGAATAGAGAAAAAATGCCAGTTAAATTACTTGAGTTTGCCCTGTTCTAACAACTATGCTCATATTGGTGAATTTCCTTCCAGAATTAAACTGGATTTTTAATTTTTCCTATGTATAGTCATGTTTTAGCATTCTTATATTAAACAGTATATTGATAGTTTTAAATTTTTATACTTTTGCATCTTTTCATTGTACATTTCAAAGCTCTTTCCCCATAGTCCTCATTTTCCACGGCCGTACAATTAGTAGTTGTGAGTTGGTTCTGCACAATTTACTTACCTTTCTTGTTGCTGCTCCCAGCTTTTTGCCATCCTAAATAACACAGGGATTTTGGATTATTTTCTCATTACGGATTTCCAGGAGTAGGATTATCAGATGAGGGGATAGGGAAGATCTTAACCTTTCTACTTCTTTAAAGAAAGGAAAGGAGATGTGGTTTCTGATCCACTGATCCACTAGGCCATACCATCTGACTCTCTTTACTCTTGTAAAATTGTGAGGAGCCTCCTGTCTTCTTCAGGAAGGAACTGTGAAAACGGATTTTTGCATCTTATTCCATAGATGCAAAAAACTAAAATCTAAAAAACTAAAACTAAAATCTTGTTTTATAGGATAAAAGAAGAATAGGACTTTGTTGTTGCTTTTTGCATTGTTCCACATGATAGTTACTGCTGTCTTTCTAGTTTAGCCTTTCTGTCAAATAATACACACACCTCAGACCTACAAGTGTGTATTTCCCACTTAGGGCACACTTTGGCTCTCTCCACCCCTCTAGTTATTCAATCCTCTCTAATTTCCATCACTATTTTTTTTTTAATTAAACAGGAAAGAGCCAGACTCCTCAGAGGTCAGTCTGTTCAACAAGTGGGACCCCAGGGCCTTCTGTATGTTCAGCAGAGAGAGCTTGCAGTGACCTCCCCAAAGGATGGTAGGTTAGGAAGCAGTGAATTGGGCACTATCCCAAAAGGCTATTGGATATTTTATTTTATTTCTTTTTTAAACAGGCTCCATCTCCATTCTGGGTTCTGATGATGCCACCACTTGTCACATTGTGGTCCTGAGGCACACAGGTATGGCGAGAGAGACAAAGGAAATCATTCTTTAAACCAACCACGTTTGGGACCATTAATTTGAGTGTCCTGGTGTCCTACCGGAAACCTGACTCGGCTCACCTTTTCTCTGGTCTGCATGGTACCTCCCTGTGCCCTGGTCAGAACGGGTTGGCTGGGCAGCACAGTTTCTGTCTTTCCTTACAGGATGTTCAGAGATGAGGTGGTCGGATGGACAGGATTGAGTTGGCTTGCGTAATGAGTGCTCATCGGGAATAACATGAGTCATTTCACCCTTGTTCTTCAGGTAATGGGGCTACCTGCTTGACACATTGTGATGGATCTGACACCAAAGCTGAGGTCCCCTTGATCATGAACTCCATAAAATCCTTTTCTGACCACACTCAATGTGGAAGGTGAGCTCCACGCTACTCTTTTTTTGATATCGGGAACTTTGTACCCTTGTGTAGAGGAAACCTCTGTGGAAGCTGGGACAGAAACACAGGATGTCACTACCACAGTGGCTGTCTTGTTCCCCTGGAGTGGAGCTTGGCACAGCATGGCCCCTTGTCCTGGTTGGTGAGTGAGTGGTGGGTGATGGGTACAGGCAGGAAACAATGCTGGATTGTGAATGGAAGGTTTGACCTTGCACCTGTAGTTTTATGTTCAGTAACGTATTTTTAGATGTTCCTATATCAGACATTGGGGTACATAGTACCCCAGATGTAGTATCCCTTCATTCATTTATTCCTTCAGCAATTATTTATTGAATGCTCTGCATGAGCAAGAGCTGGTTTAGGTGCCAAGGACAGAGCAGTGGACAGTGTACACCAAACCCGCCCCCACGGTGTTCATATGGTAAAGCAAGGAGACATTCAGTAAGCAGAGTAGGATGTTAAATGGTAGACAGGTCTGTGGGGGGAAATCAAGGCAGGGAAGGAACGGGAGACGGCTGAGGGACTAGGGGTACATGTTGGCAAAACAGTGATTTCACCAGGGATCCCTTACAAGAGCTGAGGTCTGACCTGGCTGTCCATCACAGCATCTAACACTCACCGGTTACAGGAAGTGTAACCGCCTCCTTTCCACAGCTGCTGACACAGACTCAGCTGGCCCGGAGTCACACAGCTAGTCCGTGGTAGGCCCTGACCTGTGCTCACTCCCCGGTCCCCTCTCCTTCCTCTCCCATCAGGCCGACTGCAGGCTTTGCCCTCATTTTACTTGAAGCCCGATGCAGCCGTTGAATGAACTAGTCCATTCGTATACAAGCGCTTAGGATCCCAAAGGTTTAAAAAAGCCTCTGTCAGTTTCACTAGTACAACACCGTTGAATTTTTAAATGTAATTACACTCCTGCCTGTGTGGCTGACGCGGGCTGGGCCAGCCTCACTGGCCTGCAGCCTCTGCAGGCGCAGAATGGACTTTTCATTGGGCCCTCGATTACTCAGCTGGATCTGGCCACAGGCCCAACTCCATGATTCTCGGAACGCAGTTGTGAGATATCCCTGGTCTCTTCACGGAACTGATTTGGTCTCTCTGGAAGGTTTGCTGCACCCTGTGGCCCAGTGTCCAGGAAAGCCACGGCGACCTCTGCTCCTCTTACTTTGAAGGCGCAGTATGAGACCGCTTGATGGTCGGCCCTGTGCTGGTTTCTGAGATTCCAATTCATTCCTTATGTCTCTGTGAAATACAGCTGCACTTCCTTTTCCTTTAAAGTATGTTTTTATTTATTTCAGAGAGAAAGGAAGAGGGAAAGAGAGATAGAAACGTGAATAATGAGAGAATTATTGATTGGCTTGAGCCAGCAACCCAGGCATATGCCCTTGACCGGAATCGAACCTGGGACCCTTCAGTCCACAGACTGACACTCTATCCACTGAACCAAACCAGCCAGGCTACAACTGCACTTTCCAAAGCACTGGTCCCCGGGTTGTTTTAGGCTGCACACAGGTAGTTAGCAGACAGTGGGAAACACGTGGCTAAACAAGGTTTATTTTTTCCCCACCTGTCGGACTTCTTAGGGCTTTTCTTTGCTGGTGTGAATTATGATTCCTAGGGAGGGGTTACCTTGGGCAAGATTTCCCCAAATTATTTAACTCCAAGAACACTTTTTTCTGTCTCATGCATCTAACGTTCAGGGGGACACAGTGGACAATAAGACTCAGTTCCCTCTGTGGGATGGAGATGGTCATTTCTGCCTCTCCGGGAGAGGTGGGCATTAGGGGGACAGCACTGTGGAAGGTCCGCTGCAGTCCCTCCACAAAGCGGGCTATAGCGCGTAAGCTGTCTTCCCTTCCCACTCCTCCACCCAGTTCCTCTTTGGCAAAGACGCTGAAGAGGTTTTCAGAGGTGTCCTGCTGTGGGTGGGTTAACAGTGTCAGAGGCGTATTTTTCCTGAGCAGAGTTCCTCGGCCCCTGCACCAAGCGGCATCATATTGTGGTAAAGCAGAAATGCGCTCAGCCGTCAGGGTTCCTGGGCAGCATCCCCAGGAGCTTGCCTGGCCTTGGCAGCCTCCCCAGTTACCGCAGGGAGCACACCGGTGTCTTCTGTGTGCATGAGGCTCAGCATGGCCTGGAAAAGCGAGGGCTCACTGAAGCTGAGAAACGCCATTCAAAGCAAAACCAGTGCACAGTCGCTGCCTTGTGCTGGCCTCTGACCACAATCCCGTCTCTTTGCCAGGCTGGAAGTGCACCTCGTGGGCGGCTTCAGTGACGATAGGCAGTTGTCACAAAAACTTACTCATCAACTTCTTAGTAAGTTCCCTGTTCTCCCCCCCAGATTTGATAAAAATTTGTACCTATTTTTGCTTGGCTGTAAGTCCCAGTGAGGACACGAGAGGGGCACACCTTCCTGGAGTGACATAAACGGCTCAGCGTGGAATCTGACATACAGACTGGACAGCACATGAGCTACATTTTCAGGGGGTAATGGGATGGGTCAAGATTTTTTTTTTTTTAAGACAGCAGTTGATATGCTCTGAATTATGTAAAAACAGAACCACCCTCCAGGAAGAAAAGTCCATTTTAATATGTAGAAAATGAGAACGCCAATCATACCATATTTTCCCTACTCAATGAGCAAGTATTTTTTTTCAAAAACACATTGTTCTGTTAACCATGAGGATTGAGGTAACACATTGACACAGAACTGGAGTATACATTGGTACAACCTGCTAGGAAAGCAATTTGGCATCATGGTAGTCTTAAAAAAGGCTCATACCTTGGACCCAGTAATTCCCCTTCTGGGAATATTCTAAGAAAATAACCCGAAATGTGCACAGAATGTATGCCCAAAGATAGATGGGCAGTAGAACATTACCAACAGAAAATTATCTAATGTTCATTAGTAAAGGAATAATGATGTAGCTGTTAAATATAAAATGTCTACATGCTATAAGCTTAGTTGTCCATTGGAAAAGCATGGAATACACAGCGTATTAACTGAGATTATGGGCATTAAAACCCATATACTTCTACCATTAAAAACCATTACTCCTTATTCTCTTCTGTTTTTCCAAATTTTTGGAGTGATCAAAATTTTTTATGACTATGATATCAGGAAAAATAGTTACTTAGGAAGAGTAAAACTCTTACAGTCATTTTATCCTCCCAAACCTCCGAATGAAGAGAAATGGAAAGCCTTGGTCAGAGTTTTCTTTGGGCTTGAGGCTGGGAACATGACTATAACTTGGCAGGCCTAGTAGGACAGGTGTTGGCTGAAAAGGTGTTAGGACAGAGATGGCTCAGCTGGCCTCCATCCCTCCGTCTCCTTCTTGACTTGCTCAGCTTATGTTCTGCTAACCAAAGGAACTTTTTTGACACCCAGTTTTAAAATTCTAATTGTAGGTGAATTTGACAGACAAGATGATGACATTCACTTAATGACATTATGTGTGACAGGTAAGTTCTGCCGTCCTTCCCAAAATGAAGTTGTAGATTCCAGGGAAAGACGTATTGCCCTCCCCTTAAAGCAGGACCCAGCCTCAGTAGCTCAGTCACAGAGGACACAATTTGCCGATGCTTTGCTAACTTTTCCTCTGGCTTCCCCCGTCTGCTGGGATGCTTTCCCTCCTGCCCCGTGTCCAAATCCTGCGCAGCCTCCGTTGTGATGCTGACCCGCTTCAGGGTCACTCATCTTTCCTTCCCTGGGATTTCCAGAAGCCTGTCTGTCCTGGGCAGGAGAAGGGGCCACACCCCCGTGGGAGCTGCCGCCTGCGTGGCAGGCTGCCGAGCATGTGGAGGGTGGGGAGCCCCGCCTCTGGAGGTGGCCGTTGGTTCAGGGTAAGCCCGAGTGCTCTGGGGCTCAGCAAGGAGACAGGAAAACCGTTCCTCTTGTGGTGTTTTCCCCGCGTCAGCAGTGGGGGCTCTATTTACAAAATGAAAGCAATTGTTTAGTGTTCCTTAAAAATTGGGTCTTAAAAAAAAACAAAACTTTTGTTTGTTTGTTAGAATTAAATGACCGGGAAGAAAACGAAAACCACTTTCCAATCATCTATGGCATTGGTGAGTAGTGTTCACCTGAGGGTTGGAAACTGGCCACATGTTGACAAGGCAGGCCCCGGGGAAAGGAACTGGTGCCTGCCTTGTCACTGAGCCGCTGATGTCAGTATGTCACAGTGTGTTCTGCTGTGTTTGCTGGGGGCCCTGGGCCGGTAGCTGATCTTCTCTAAGCATTATCTTCGAAAGAGAGAAAACGTCCACACGCAGCCCGGAGGAGAAAGCCAGGAAGCACACACACAGCACGGACAGCGCCCCCAGCAATGGGAGTGTTGGTGGCGCTCTCCTTTCCCGAGGCGGCCGCCTGTGCTTTTGTCCAGCCAGGGCTCCAGGGGCCGCAGTGGAGCATAGTAATTTTCTTACATGTAGGGAATCAAGTAAGGTTTGATTGAGAAGGAAAGTAAAACTATCAAGGACCTTTCTCCGATTAGAGAAAATCCAGAAACTTCCACCCTTTCCGGATGGTCCCTAAGACTCCCGAGGGATAGGATGAAATAGGCTATATGCAGAAGGCTTCTACCTTGTCTGTAATACTTCATGTATTTAGTACTTCATGTCGTGTGGTGGGCACACAGATGCGTGTTGTTTTCTATAATGTATATATATTTGAAACGCATAGGAAAAATTAGGAAACAAACACACGAGACTTGGCCATCCATCACAGGCCCTCTAGCCCCAGCCACTTGCAGACCCGCGCGGCCACACGGCTGACCAGGAAGGCCTTGCCACGCCCCTGCCTGAGGAGACTGCCTTCCTGTGGGGCCGGCTCCTGGTTTGGTCCGGTCTCACCGAGCCTGGTTCAGTTCAGCCATCCTGAGTGAGGTACTTGGCTAAAAGATTTCCTTGTCCCTTTCCAGGAAGGAGGAAGCTACAGGCACTTGAGAGTGATTTTGTTCAGTTTTCATTCTAGTCTGTATTTGAGAGACTTATCCACGTTCTATTAGGTATGGTGGGAGAACTGTGGGCCTGTGCAATCTTCCCATGTTTGTCTTTCGTCAACTCAGTCATCCTGTTGTTCCGACAGCTGTCAACGTGAAAACTGCAGAGATCTACAGAGCCTCCTTCCAAGATCGCGGTCCTGAGGAGGAGCTGCGCGCTGCCCGAGCTTTAACAGGAGGACCAGTGAGTTTGGAATCATCTTTGAGTCCAGGGGTTATGGAAAAAAAGGGCATCAAGCTCCAAAGCCTTATAGACCTTGGATATGAAAAGTTCATGTCAGCTTCTTTAAACCTGTGAATTAATCAGGGGCCACCTCTCTCTCCCTTTCCTTCCCCCTCTCTGTTTTTCTGAGTGCTTTTAGGTTATAAGCTCAGGACCCCAATTCTCTGCCTGGAAGGTGTAGAGGAGGTAATGTGAACCCCCAGCATTCAATCCAAAGAGAAGGAATCCCTTTTACTTTGTAAGAACTTTACCTGTAAAGTTCCTACAGAGAAAGAGCCAACAAGGGGAAAAGAAGTGTCTCCCCTTTGTACCTCAGATCATATACTCCTTTGGACCAAATAACTAAAGAAAAATCTTCCGGAATGAACTGATCAAAAGACCAATCAAATCAATTTAAAAGTCTGATTGCCGCCAAAACCGGTTTGGCTCAGTGGTAGAGCACCGGTCTGCGGAGCATTGGTCCCAGGTTTGATTCCGGTCAAGGGCATGTACATTGGTTGCAGGCACATCCCCGGTAAGGGGTGTGCAAGAGGCAGCTGGTCAATGTTTCTCTCTCATCGACGTTTCTAGCTCTCTATCTCTTTCCCTTCCTCTCTGTAAAGAATCAATAAAAAAATAATAAAATGTCTGATTGCCTTCGGGTGCTTTTTAAATAACATTTTAAGTGATCTTTTTATTTTATATTTATTTTATATTTATTTTATAATTTAAAAAAAATTTTTACCCAAGGAGATTTTTCCATTGATTTTTAGAGAGAATGGGAGGGAGGGGGAAGAAACAGAAACATTGATGTGAGAGACACATTGATTGGTTGCCCCTGCACACACCCAAACAGGCCCAAGATGGAGCCTGCAACTGAGGTATATGTCCTTGACTGGAATCGAACCCGGGTCCCTTTAGTCCACGTGTAGATGCTCTATCCACTGAAACAAACCAGTTAGGGCTAAATAACATTTTTTAAATATGTGGGGGTTTTTTGTTATTGATTTCAGAGAAGAAGGGGAATGGGGAGAGGCAGAAACATCAATGAGGATGAGGAAATCATTGATCAGCTGCCTCTTGCATATCTGGAGATGGACTCTGCAACCCAGGCGTGTGTCCTGACTGGGAACCAAACTGTGACCTCCTGGTTCATGAGTTGACTCTCAACCACTGAGCCACATCCGCCATGCTAAATAATATTTTAATTTTAAAAGTTAGAAAAATAAAAACCCAAGACTGACATCCCCCACTTGAGGAATAGGTGAAAGAATCCCTTAAAAATGTGTGTAAAACTGTGGGGGGGGGGGGGAAGAGATTTGCTCATTCATAAAATGCTGACAATTTCATTGGAAAATAATATTTGGATTCAAAGTGACCTGTTTTGCCAACCCTTGAACATTTTTAGAGTTCCTTTTATAATTTCTCAAGTAGTATCATAGCCTTGATTTAGCTAATATTCAGAATATATTTCAATCTCAGTAACCAAAATAGAACATTTGTGGGCAAGTTGACAATGACCATCGACAAATTTGAGAATTTAGGAGTTGGTCATTTGGTAAATTAGTGTTTTTACAAATTGTTTTTCCTTTCTTTTGATGGGGCAGCAGGCACTGTGTAAAGTTGTAAGGTAACTTATTTCTTGGGTATAAATGAGGAGGCAGTGTTTCTGTAGCCACGAGGAACACGGACTTTATCAGGCACACCTGGGACTGTGGGCTCTGTGCCCCATCTCTGTGCTTCAGGTTTCCACCTCAATGGGGGAAATGCCATCTTCACACAGGATTGTTGTCAAGACTAAACAAAATAATGTATGTTACCCACAAAGTGCAGTACCTGACAGGTGGAAGTATTCAGTAAGTAGCAGCTCTTGTTATTAGGAGACAATTGTAAAGCAGCTTATCATTCAGGTAAATGCCTTACGTGCTAGACTACACTGGAGCATGCTTTAATGGTAGGGTGTGAGAAGCTGATAGCATTCCTTAAAATCTACCCTTGCAATGTTCTTTTCAGATGGTTAGTATTTACGATGCAAAGACAGAACAACTTCGTATAGGACCGTATTCCTGGGTGCCATTTCCACATGTGGATTTCTGGTTGCAGCAAGATGATAAGCAAATACTAGAGGTGAGAATTTACAAGGTGGGCAAATCTTAACACTCTGGACCCTGGTCTCCTCATCTGTAAGAAAGAAAAGGGTTTAGACTAAATAATAGCTGTTTCCCCCCCCCCTTCATTGGGCAGTATTTATTTTTAGGATGCCCCTGGCAGACCCCACTTACCTTCTGTATCAGTGGAGATAAGCAATATCCTGGGTAGACACTTGCATAGGTGAAGTAGTAAGCAACGAATTGCTCTTTTCTCACGAACCCAGTACACCTGTTCCTACGTAACTTTACAATTTACATGTGTGTATAGAGCAATCCGAGAACATCCTGATTAATATTCAAGGAACACAAGGATATTTGTCATCTTTATCAAAGTAGGGAACAGCGAGAGGTTCTTCTCTTATGCCTCACATCTTGTTTTTCCAGAATCTTTCCACTTCACCTCTGGCCGAGCCCCCACACTTTGTTGAACATATTAGAAAAACCTTCATGTTTTTAAAAAAATACCCATCTCCAACAAACACATTATTTCCTGGAAATAAAGCTCTGCTCTACAAAAAAAATGAAGATGGCTTATGGGAAAAGGTCCCTTCTCCAAGAAGCTCAAAATAGGAATTACCAAAGAAAGCAACTTTTTGGCATGACAGAGACCATTGGTGGTTGGACAGAATATGAATTTGGAATCTACATCCGTTGAGTCTTAGTGTCTTTCACATGACTTTCAAAATAAAATCTTATTTTGGCAAAGGCATTTGTTACTTTTTGCTTTGTTAAAAGTTGACATCCAGCTGTTCCTTTTTGGTTAGTGATAAGGGGCAGAGGAGAAGCCATCTGCTCACTATTCTATGACAGCCATTTCAGTTACTTAGGTAATTCTAACTCTACAAAATTAGTGAATAAAGGGAAATTTATAATTGAGTCTGCTTTAAAAACAGTATTTAAAATGCAATAAAGTTCAGTCAGAATTTATACATCTCATTGAGGGTGGTGTTTCTTGTGTTGTTTTTTTTTTTCTTCTTTTTTTTTTACCCCAAAATATTTTAGAAGCATCAAATCCAAACTGATATAAATTATTTCTAGATGAATGACATAGAAGGTTCAGAAATACAAATAGGATTTGATCTTACTGTCCTACATTACAATTATCTCTAAAATAGATAATTTCTCATGAGAATAAATTTAAGTATTACACAAAACCAGTGATAAATCTGTTCTTTTAGGTATTAAGTCATTAAAATGCCCAAATTGTGATTATTGTGCAAGTTATATTTTTCAGAAATCTTTATTTTTCTGAAGTTTCTGACTATCCCAAAAGGAAGCGACTCTGCTTGACTGATAGTAAGATTTATGAACCGAACGCACTGGGAACAATTTCAGGAACTTTTATTGAAACCAACATCCAAATAGTATCTTAAGGGTGAAATTCTGTTCAGCAAAACCAATTTAACAATTCCAAATATATATAAAAACATTTAAAAATTAATCTTGTTAAAGGTGATAATTTCCCTTCCCCCATTTTATCTGCTATACTTCATTGCACCAAATAAACAGGAAGACTTCGTTTAATCATCTGTGCACACACACAAACAAAAAGGAAAACTGCATTTTGACAAATGCCAGATGTCAGAAATCACATCAAATCAGAGTGTAATTATAGGCTTACTGTGGTATAACTAAGGCTTCCAATACTACAGTCCACAAACCCAGTGTGAATTCCCACCGTCTCACCGTCTCCCAAGCCTGACTGCTGGACTGGAAGGCACGGGCCATTGCCTCTGGTGCGTGAAGGGAGCTGCCCTCTGGAAGAGCAGACGGCAGGCATGGAAGGGCTAACCAGTCACTCAGCAGCAGCCTGGCGTGGTCAGCCTGAGAAAGGCTACTTTTCTCTTTCTCATTTGTGTGTTGGGCCTAAAGGGGTGAGCTGCAGTGGAACAAACCTATGGAAGCTCCCAGGTAAAACAGGTCAAAGTATACTTATTTTAGAATTTAAATTTAACTGGGTGCTACACAGCATGTTTAATATTAGGCTTTTAGGAGTAGCATCTATTAGGTTTTCAGATATTAAACATAGAAATGAGCACAGTCTGTTCTCTTGTGCCAATTTAAAAGCTTTACCAATATTTAAAAATATACATATATATGGTCAAGAAGAGTCTGTATAGTTTCTCTTAATAGAGGAATCACTTAGTTAGTTTAGAAATAGTATATAAAGGGAGGAATGGATTCATGGCAGAGGAAAGTCACAGACAGAAGCACTGCCCAGTCAACTTGCTCGATAGCCTGCCACAGCTTGAGTGGACACGGTCCGTATTGACGTCTCCAAGAATAGCAGCAGTTGGGGATGGCAGAGAGGGCTTCTGACACTCTTATTTACAATTCCATTGAAACCCATTCTCCTTCAAGCCAGCACGATGCAGCTGTAAATTGCAACCTGATAAAACTAAACAGCAACTAAAATAGATGGCAAAGGAAGGTTCTCTGTCTCTCTCTGCAGTGGTGCAGCAGAGAACCCAGAGAGGTCTAAAGAAAGCTGTCTTACCAGGAAGTTCTGTGTAACTAATAATTTATGTTTACAAGATAAAAGCATGTGTTTCAAGTGTCAGACACTTGACATTCTGAGTGTTCTTTGTGAATAAAAAGTGTTTACGGTAACATGGGGGAAAATTATTACTACAGTTGGATAGACAGAAACAACAGTTCTCTGTACCCATTAAATTAGACAAATCAGTTACCCTGATTGTTTTGCACATACATGTGCAAAAAGCCAGTTAAAGCACAAATAACAGTAATTTCTCTTGTATTAGTATGTGGCACAGTTCACATTTTCAGTATAACTTTATCTTCCATGACACAATATTCAGTACAGTCTCAAACCAAACACTGAATTTTATCTTAAGTTTTCCGGTTCTTCTACCTGTGGGCGGTCATCTTCTGGGCCCTGGGCAATGTTCTGGAAGGTTCCAGTCTGCTCGGCTTCCTGAGGGGCAGGAGCCCCTGGCTGTGGCTCAGGGCTGTTAGCCTCCAGGGCCTCTTGTTCCTGCCCACTGGACAGGTGCTCCATTTTTTCTAAGTCTTCAATGTGACTGACTGAGCTTGTCTCACTTAGAGCATCTGAGCCTCTTAGCGACTTTTTAAAAGGCTTCTGGCCTAGAGAAAGATGGGATAAACAGCACTGAAAGTTCAATAAAGGATACTTCTGCAGCAAAGCTCTCTGTGTAACAAGTGATTGCTTCATCAATTCCAACCATTCCGTGGGAATCCCCAGCATTACTGGTTTGGAGCATTTGAGTAACGAGGAAAGAGCTGATAATGGACTAACATGCTCCTTAGGTGAGGACTTTGGAGGTCACTCGTGAACAGCTCAGGAGAGTAAACACCAGGTTAAACATGATGCCATTTCTCAAGAACTGTAATTTTCCCCTCAGGAGTGCTACAGAGGTATTCTTCCAAGGCTATTGGAATGGTATTTAAAGGGACAGCTGGGTCCTAACCAGTTTGGCCCAGTGGGTAGAGCATTGGCCTGTGGATTGAAGGGTCCCAGATTTGATTCCAACCAGGGGCACATGCCTGGATTGCAGGATTGATCCCCAGTAGGGGGTGTGCAGGAGGCAGCCAATCAATGATTCTCATCATTTATGTTTCTATCTCTCTCTCTCTCTCTCTCTCTGAAATCAATCAAAATATATTAAAAATGAAAAACAAAAAAAGGGACAGCTGGTCTTAAGAGAAAAGGAACTTTGGGTTAAAGACCATGAAAACAAAGATGTATAGGCAATATCAAATGGAAAACATTAAATGATGCAGAAGTCTATTTTCCCAAGATAAATGTAAACCTTTTTTTTCTGAGAGAGGAAGGGGAAGGGAAAGAAACACACACATCAATATGAGAGTAGAATGTCAATCATAGGGCTCTGCCATTACTGCAGCCAAAGTGTGGAATTCTCCCTCCACCGACCGCAGCCCCAGGAGAACTAACAACTGAGCCAAAAAGACAATCTAAGTATTAACAGGATGGTGGCCCTTTGCTGAGGAATGTGGAAAGGCTGGGTGGGGATTTTGTGAAATTGCAGTGCCTTCCAGATTAGGTGCACTTTCAATCTCTCTTTAAATGGGGCGAAGACCTGCAGGCTGCCAGGAGCAATAGTAAAGAATAGGCACATTTAAAAAACAGAAAAACTTTTAAACAAACAGACATGAAGATCATATTGGGAAACTGAGGAAGAGAACGCAAAAATCATTAAAGGGCCATCATCCATCTTGATACATGTTAGCAAACACCACCAACAATTTCATGCCCGTGAAATGCAAAATAGTTCTGTTGTGGGTTTTCTTTTGGCCATCCTTAAAGTATAATTAGATCCAGCTGGGGGGAGCTATAGCTTCCAGCATTACACCCCTTGCCCCCACATCAGGCCCTGCCGATTGGCCCCCATTGAGGAGGCTGGATGGACCCCTCCCTCCTGTGCACGAATTTGTGCACCAGACCTCTAGTGAAGATATAATGTACCTGGAAGTCTGAGTTTAGTTCGAGTGCCTGTGGGGGTCTGAGGCGGTGTTACTCCTGTATCTTGTACTTTGTAGACATACGTGTGTTCTGTGGACTCCAGAGAGCCTGCCAAGAAAAGAAAGAGAGGGGTGGGTGGGTGGAAACTCCTGACACAGACTGCCTTGGCAGATGCTCTCATTCAGCCTTGTTCCCTACTGAGCTTCCTCCAGCCATGCAGCCTCACACAGACTAGTGGAGACTTGGGTACTCCTGAAACATGCCAGAACTGGAGAAAGCCACCTCACAGCTGTGCTCAAAAGTCCCAGCCCTGCTGGAGTGTTTCATCCTTGTTTCTCCAGGTATCCTGTGCACATGTGAAGAAAGCCAGCAGTGTGGCTGGCTAAGCATGCCTGGAGAGCCTGGCTCAAGTGGGAAAAGCAAGCCCTAATTTCCCCATCAGAAGTGCTTTAGCAACTGTGTTTTGGTAACAAGGAATGAATGCCTCTGGTAACAAGGAATGAATGCCTCTTTGCTAAAGGCTGAGGCATGGCAGGTTCTAAAAGTCAGATTATCTCTGGTTGTCATGACAGTGGAGTCATCATTTCCTGGGGAAGGGTTACAGGAAGGGGCCCCTGGTAGAACAGGAAAGGAGTCTTGTGGATATCATCTCCCCCAAACCTCAGCAACTGTTACTAGTCCAGTGCTACAGACCATGGTCTTCACTGGGCAAAGGCATTATTTTACTGGGCAAAACACTAATGGGGACTGCAATGTTCACACGGAGCCGAAACCGGTTTGGCTCAGTGGATAGAGCGTCAGCCTGCGGACAGAAGGGTCCCAGGTTCAATTCCGGTCAAGGGCATGTACACTGGTTGTGGGCACATCCCCGGTGGGGGGTGTGCAGGAGGCGGCTGGTCGATGTCTCTCATTAATGTTTCTAGCTCTCTGTCCCTCTCCCTTCCTCTCTATAAAAAAACCAATAAAATATATATATTTTTTTAAATGTTCACACGGAAACCAAATGCCCAGATACAGTCTTGAGGGCGAGAACATCTGAGTGAACATGTTCTCACTAGATCCAGGAAGAGAGATCTGCTCTAAGTAATGCGCATCTGCTTTTGGGTCATTTTAGCTAAGGGTTTAAGAGAAGGGAGATGGAGAGGGGAGATGAGAAAGTCACAGGGGCAGGCAGATTCCTGGCACAGTACCCAGGATAAAGCATGGGACACATAAGGCTTTTCAGCATGAGTGTGGGATCCAGGACATTTGGTTCAAACTCGAGTACATGAGATCTGGGAGGAGGCTGTTAGACCTACCTGCTGTTAAGTTAAAAGTTCTTCCCTTCTGTGAAGGCTGGACCGGAGAAAACCAATTCAGCACGGATCCTACTACAGGGATCTGCCGTAACACCCCCTGCAAAACAGAACATTGTTCAATATCGCCCTGTCCAGTCCAGCTCCCAGCCTGAGCCACTCAGCAGACTCACCTCTTCCAGAAGGCGCTCCTCATTGGCCTTCTGCAGTTGAACCTGAGCTTCCTGAATTCCTTTCCGAACCACTTCTGTCATGTTTTCCAGAAGCTGTGTTAAGACCAAGAGAGGCATTAGTTGTCATCTAAACTTACTGCCTGGGGCCTAGAACTATTAACACAGCACTGGGGACATTTTTCTAATGCAGTGTTTCCCAAAGTGTGGTACGCCTATCCCCAGGGGTACGGGGAGAGTTTGGTGGGGGTACGCATTGCACCGGAGTTTGGTGGGGATATGCACTGCACCATGCTAAGCTGAGCCTAATTCTATATTCTCATGAGTATGAGGGGTACTCAGCGTTGCGAAAATTATAGAAGGGGTACATATATGTTAAAAGTTTGGGAAACACTGTTCTAATGGAATTCTGCAGTTTAAAATGTTAGTGTAAAAATAAAACAAAATCAAATAGAAGAGGATAAAATGCTCAAGGAGGTCTAAGCAGACAGACCTTGGTGAGCAGCCTCATTAGCCAGGGAACAGAGGGGAGAAAGAACTATCCCTGTGGTCTGAATGTCACATCATTAGAGAATATGTGGCTCCCCATTTGTGGAACTGGAGTCAGAAGTGACATAGGATTGGAAGAAACTGCAAAGTCCATTCAAGAATGAATGAAATGTCCTCTTCCCCACCCCGAACAAAAGTGAAATACAGCACACGTTTCTGTCTCCTCTCAGATCTACCATGTTTTCTCTCTTTTTGAGTGACTTCTAGTGACTCAAATCTCTGGTTTAGAGAACCAACTTTAAGCCTCAGAGCCCCCTTCTCCATGCCAACTGGCCAGCAGGAGCAGGTCTGTTACTGGCGGGAAGTTCCAGTTATCAGAAACGTCTGTCGCATTCAGCCTCAGGACCCAGCTACAACCAGGAAGTCTCCCCTGACCTTGTCAGACAGTGAAGGCATCTTTCTGAATGCTCAGCTACCTCTAACTTCTATTCTATAGCATTTACTACCTCACTTGGTTATATGTCTCTCTCTCCCCACTGGCTTGTGAGTTCCCCAAAGGCAAGTACCATGTCAAATCCACTTGTATTCCCAATGCCCGGCACCATGCCTAATTCATAGCAAACATTTAAAAACTTTTTGGGAAAAAATGAATGAACAAACATTTGTGACGCCAGCTAGCTGCCCAGGCAAAACTTAGAAAAGGAATGAGAGGCTGAAACCGGTTTGGCTCAATGGATAGAGCGTCGGCTTGGGGACTGAAAGGTCCCAATTTCGATTCCGGTCAAGGGCATGTACCTTGGTTGCGGGCATATCCCCAGTAGGGGGTGTGCAAGAGGCAGCTGATCGACGACTCTCATAGATAGTTTCTAACTATCTCTCTCCCTTCCTCTCTGTACAAAATCAATAAAATATATTTTTAAAAAAAGAAAAGGAATTTTTCATTAGTCTTACAGACCCTTGAGTTTTCCTCAATTTCTCGGGCTGTGACTGCGATGGTCTCCACGAGTTCGGAAATATCTACTTCGTCACTCGCCATGCCAATGTAAATACAGCTCTTCATACTTTTATACTCTGGGCCTGTGGGGAGGAACAACAGACCAACTTGGTTACCTGTCACGAGTCAGCCACCAGCCCACTGTTCTGTACACGCAAAGGAGCCTCCCTGTGGGGGGAGGAAAGTGGTTCCGATGAGGAGACAGAAGCCCGGAGAGGCTGCGGACAGGGAAAGGAGCTCTCGCCCCTCAGAATGAACTAAAATGACGTTTCCTCAAAAAGATACAGCCCGTTTTCCCTTAGCCAGTTAGAAATGTCCTTGCACAGTTAACAGCTGACTTATAAAAATAGTAATTACCCATTTTAAATGTAAGGTCAGATTCTAGTTCGTTTAACTTTTTCAGGAGTCCAGCATGGATTTTTTCCCCTTCTGGATCTAATTTCAAACTGTTCTTATCATCATTAGCATGTTCATACCTGTAAACAATATAAAACAACAGTATTTAAAGCTAGAATATCAAATGTCTCTTGGACACAGTCACTGGGAAAGTATAAGGTACGGGAGGTTACCAAGAATGTGGATTGAGACAAATGAACAAAGGAGCCGCTCAGAGGGTCTCAAGACCAAAAACTTTCAAGAACGTCTCAAGGAAAGGTCTAGTCTGTTAGGCCATGAAATTTAAAGAGGGGGGCCAAGGTCTGGAAGTCTCATCATTTGTGATTAAAAAGGGAGCTGTCCCTCATCCTGAAAGGAGATGGAAAGCAGCCACAGGGAGGACAGCACACTGACCACAAGGGCTGCAGGAGTTTGCTCTGCTGAGGAACGCCGCGGACAGGCACCACCTGTAGGTTGTAGACCTGTCTATGTCTCCTGATGGGGAGCCGGCACAAAAACACATACAGCAATTCCTACTGCACCGAGTGCAATGGTGGGTCCCCTTGCCTGCTGCATGTGCTGTTAGAAGTGCCCAGAATTACTGCTTTTTTAATTATTATTTACTGATTTGAGAGAGGGAAAGAGAAACATTGATTTGTTGCTCTACTTATTGATGCATTCATTTGCTGATCTTTTTGTTGCTGTTAATGCTCACCCAAGGATATTTTTCCATTTTTTTTAGAGAGTGGGAGGGAGGAAAGATAGAGGGAAATATTGATATGACTGAGAAATTGAGCCTGTAACCGAGGTCTGTGCCCTTGACAAAAATCAAATCCAGATCCTGCAGTCTATGGGCTGACACTCTATCCACTGAGCCAAATCAGGCAGGACCAGAACTTCTAATTGAATGTTCATTAGATGTTTTCACTGTGACTGCATGTATTCATCTGAGATTTTTAAGTTGGTTCATAAATTGACCCACCTTGGTCTTTATACAGCAGATAAATTAACATCAGGCAATAAACAGAAACCATACCTGACAACCCCTATTCCAGGCCAGTTAGGGTCATCAACGTGCAAGAGGCCTGCTGTTCTTGTCACTTCTTGCTTGAACTCCTCTCGCAGCTGTAGTGTACAGGTCATGACTGGCAGCTTGCCTTCTATGCAGGCTACCAGCTGGTCCACGTCCTCTCCCCGAGTTCCTAAAACTAAAAACATTCACAGAATGTTACGGAAATGCTTCAGGAACAGCTAAAATTTAGAGGGCAGGGCTCCCACTTCCTCTACCAGAAAGGCCAACAGCTCTAGGCGGATCCAATTAGCTGGAGCTGAGGAGCTAAAAAAAAAAAAAAAAAAGAAAGAAAAAGCTACTAAACCTAGATATGGACGAATCTGGTATTATATAGCCACACCCTCCAGTACAGAGTTTTTTCTTACAAAGATAGAATTAGCTCCTCCAATTTAATACACAATGACACTCTGATGTAAAACTGAGATTCTTCCCACAGAAAGATTCTGCTTAAATTAAGAACAAAGAGGCAACCACACAGCACATTAACATCTTGGGAGAAAGTTATTTTGGTGTGCTTGTGGCGGGAGGCCAGAAGGGCAGGGTGACGAAGACAGAACTAAGTCACTTCTGAAGGTGAGTGCCTGAGAGGACTCAGGGCTGCAGGGATCCAAGAGTCTTGGCACCATCATGGCTCCTTCACTTTTGTCGATTTCAACCCTGCGCATGACCTCGCTGAGCCGCACCGCCTCGGAGTCCTCTGCCCGCTTTCCCAGGGTCAGAGACCAGCCTCGGGGCTGGGTGAGGAAGCTGGGCGGCAGGAGCAGACGCTCCTGGAGAATCCCGAGGCCAGCAGCCATCTTCACAACAGCTTTTCTTTGCAGGACAGATGCCTGAACTTCCTTACTTTGATGTTTTTGAGAAAACATCTCAAAATGTTGAGAACATTTCATGAAAAACCATCAAACATTTTCTGAAAATGTTGAAATCATTTCAAAATAAAAGCACAACAAAAAAATACATATTTTTTCAGCTTTTTTAAATGCCTACTATAATATGCTAAGCACTACCTAAGGCATTTCATATACTTGTTCTCATTTTAATATTCACACCATTATCACGAAGTAGTGGGAAATAGGTCTGGAGATAACTTGCTCAAGGTCCCCACAGGTATGAAGTGGCCTGGGAGACAAATACCCAGGACTTGGTCATCAGATCCAGGTACTTTCAGCTACATTCTTCCTTAAATAACTAAAAGTGGTTCTCAGCCTTTGCTGGCCTATGTGAGTCACAGGGAACTTTCAAAGATAAGATGTCCAAGCTCCACTCTAGACCAAGAAAATCAGAATCTCTGTAGGTGAGGCCCAGCCGATGGGAGCTGTCAAAGCTCCACAGGTGATTCTATTATACAGACTGGACTGAGAACCACTGACAAAAGCGTCACAAGACATCAAAACACAGGAGTTCAAGTGACTTCAGAAGTCTCCGTTTCTGAGAAATTACACTGGAAGGCTAATTTACCTAAATTTAAGCCAAAAGAAAAGAAAAATCCTCTTCAAAGAGAGCAGAATATCACAAGGGAAAGCTCTAACACCCCATAGCTTGGACTTTCATAGACACGTCACTGATGTTCCCCAGAACAGAAGTGAGGGCAATCCACGGAAACAAGTTACCTGCCGCTGTCATCAAAGGGCTGAACCTCACACACACTCCCTCTGCTTCCAGATCCATGACTGTGAGGCCACTCGCAGGCACCAGCTGTTTCAGCTCTTCTCCCAGCTGCAGGGAAAAGGGTAGAATGAACGCGCTCCGCAAGGAGGGAATCTAATAGTGTCTTCAGACTTACCCTCATCCATTCAGCCCTGGACTCAAGAAGCTCCTAGGGATCTAGTTTCCTTTAATCTTTTTTTTTTTTTTTTAAAGAAATCTTACTGAAACCGGTTTGGCTCATTGGATAGAGCATTGGCCTGCAGACTGAAGGGTCCCAGGTTCGATTCCGGTCAAGGGCATGTGCCTTGGTTGCGAGCACATCCCCTGTGGGGGTGTGCAGAAGGCAGCTGATTGATGTTTCTCTCTCATCGATGTTTCTGACTCTCTGTCCCTCTCCCTTCCTCTCTGTAAAAGATCAATGAAGTATATATTTTTTTAAAAAGGAAATCTTACCTTTTTATTTTTATTTAAAATATATTTTATTGATTTTTCACAGACAGGAAGGGAGAGGAAGAGAGAGTTAGAAACATCGAGGAGACAGAAACATTAATCAGCTGCCTCCTGCACACCCCCCGTTGGGGACGTGCCACAACCAAGATACATGCCTTTGACCGGAATCAAACCTGGGACCCTTGTGTCTGCAGGCTGACGCTCTATCCACTGAGCCAAACCAGTTAGGGCAGAAATCTTACCTTTTTAAAAAATATATGTTTTTACTGATTTAAGGAAGAGGGCAAGAGGTAGAAACAGCAATAATGAGAGAGAATGATCAATTAGCTGCCTCTTGCATGCTCCCCACTGGGGATTGAGCCCCAAACCTTGGCCTGTGCCCTGACTGGGAATCGAACTGTGACCTTCTGGTTCATAGGTCAATGCTCAACCACTAAGCTACACCGGTTAAGCTCCTTTGATCTTATGATTTTCTTTGAATGCTATCATAATTCCTTTATAAAAACAGTAAATTTTACATCTATTCTTAATTCAAAAGCCTAAGTTCATTGTAGAAAAATCTAGGAAATATAGGTAAACCAAGTGAATAAAAATTATCCAAAATATGCTACTAATGTCATGTGGCATATACACAATGTCTTCCTCCCTGTATATGTGTGTGTGCATGCCTTATTGTTGTCATAAACCAGGATAATCTATACACTGGGTTGTAATCTACATTTGTCATATAACTGATGACCATTTCCCTTCTTTCATAAACACCCAGACACATGGTTTAATCTGGCTCTTTTGAACGTCACTGTATGGACATTATTCACCAAATGTCCTAGGTTGGGCATGTCCAATGTTTTGCTAGGATTTATAATACTGTGCTAAACATCCTTACATTGTTTAGAACATTCTTTAGGCTGAGATCCTTGGAGGTACAATTTTAGTGTCAAAAAGCAGCCAGAGCACAACGCCTCTCTTCATACTGCCAGACTGCCTCTGGCTTATGTGCTTTCTGGTGTCACCACGGACCCTCACCAGAACCCCAAAGTGGCTGCACTGTAACCTACACTGTGCATGTTGTTTTAACAGCAAAGAAATGGTCACATGAGGAAATATGTTGGGAAGACTTGTCAGAACATGCAGTACGGGAGGTAGTGATCTGATTAGGAACAGAACCCCAGGTTCAAGCCCAACGCCTTCACAGGAGGCTCCCTCCTCTGGGTCTCATTTCCCAGACATGGCCACGTAAAGCGCACAACTGCCATTCTTACCCAGCGATTCAGTGCATCACAGGAGTGTCCCTCCCGGCCAACTGTTGAAGGAGCCATGTTGGGTGCTGGGACAGCTTTAAGCACTGGATCTGAAACCAAACAGGAAAGGATTCACTTCCCAGAAACAGCAAACTAAAAAAGGCAACCCTCCAACTCATTTTCTTTAGCTTCTAACATTAACCCACACAACAGTTTCAAATAATATGGAAATCTAATGTGTATCTTACATGAATGGATGCACAAAATGTGGTGTATACATTCATGGACTATAATTCAGCCTTACCGTGTTTCCCCGAAAATAAGACATCCTCCAAAAATAAGACCTACTTACGGGGTTTCCTTCTGAGTGAAATATAAGGCATCTCCCCAAAAATAAGGCCCCCCATAGGCTCTGTCTCAGAATGCTATTGCTAAACATGAGAGATTTGGTCCACTGATTCTGAAAGAAATGGAGTCACAAGAAATTCACCAGGAAATTCAGGAATTGGATTGTTATGATGATGTTCCAGAAGATGATGACATGATTGTCATTGAATAAATGAGTAAATTCTCGATACCGTAGGATTCACAGTTTGTCTGGTTTGTGTTGACAACTACCGTACCATATACAGGTAATAAATTTCCTTTATTTTCATTTAACAATAAATGTGTATTGTATTCGTCTTTATGGAAAAATAAGACATCCCCTGAAAATAAGACCTAGCGCATCTTTGGGAGCAAAAATTAATATAAGACACTGTCTTACTTTCGGGGAAACAGGGTAGAAAGGAAGGAAATTCTGTCACAGGCTCAGTATGGATGAACCTTGAGGACACTACTCTAAGTGAAATAAGCAATCACAAAGGACAAGTGCTGCATGCTTCTGCTTTTATGATGCACCCAAAGATGTCAAATTAATAGAAACAGAAATTCAATGGTGTTTGCCAGGTGCTGAGAAGAGGAAGAAAATGGAGAGATGCTGTTTAATAGGTAGAGGGTCAGTTTTGCAAGATGAAAAAATTCTGGAGACCTGCAGTACAACAATATGAATATACTTAATACTACTGAATTGTATCTGTAATGGTTAAGCTGACAAACTTTGTTTTTAAGTCACAATTTAAAAATAAATGTATCTTACTAAATTAAATGTTACTTTTTTCATAAAAAATATAGCCCTTGAATATATTCATACAACTAGAGTTCTTTTTTTTTTAAAGTATATATTTTATTGATTTTTTACAGAGAGGAAGGGAGAGGGACAGAGAGTTAGAAACATTGATGAGAGAGACATCAATCAGCTGCCTTCTGCACACCCTCTACGGGGATGTAACTGCAACCAATGTACATGCCCTTGACCAGAATCGAACCTGGGACCTTTCAGTCCGCAGACCGACGCTCTATCCACTGAGCCAAACCGGTTTCGGCTACAACTAGAGTTCTTAACTTTATTTTAAAAGTTTTCTATCAAGGGATTTAAAAAAAAAAAAAAAAATCAAAGCAGCCCTGACCAGTTTGGCTCAGTGGATAGAGTACTGTCCTGCAGACTGAAGGGTCCCAGGTTAGATTCTGGTCAAGGACATGTACCACGGTTTCGGGCACATCCCCAGTAGGGGGTGTGCAGGAGACAGCTGATAGATGTTTCTCATTGATGTTTCTAACTATCTCTCTCCCTTCCTGTCTGTGAAAAATCAATAAAATATATTTATTTTTTAAAAGGAAATCAAAGAATTATATTATAAATTATCAACTAAGCACAATGCAAAGTAAATCAGAGAAATCACCCAATAGCTGGACTTCAAAACAGAATCAGCCTCTACTCATCAAACAATCTGGATGACTACTCATGCAGGAGCTGGGTCGGGCCCAAAGGAAATGAGACTGGTAGTTTTTTTTTCATCTTGGAGTTTACACTCTACTTGAGGAAACAGACCATAAAGAACGAAACGAAATCACTAATTATTGTTGTGAGTGCCATGCAAGAAGGGGGGCTCTCACAGGCAGGGAAGGCCTCTCTGAGGAGGTGGACATTATGGAGACCTAAATGGAGAACTCAGCCAGAAGAGGAGGGGAAATGTACTAGAAGGGGGAACAGTAGTGTAAAGATCTTACTCTAGTGAGCAGGAGGAAAAGTGGCCTAAGAAGTCAGAAAGGCAAAGGCTAGAACTGTAGGCCTTACAAGACCTAGCACAGAGCCCGGACCTCGTTCAACTGAAATAGTAAGATTCCAGAGAGTGATGCGATGTGACTTCCACTTGCAATGCTCACTCGGACTGCCATGTAGAGAATGGTCTGGAATGGGATGTGGGGTGTACCAAGTTGACAGATGAGTGAGAGGGTGATGAGTGTCCTGAACTAGGCTGGTGGCACTTGGGACATTCTAAAAAATAGAGATTCCTAGATCCAACCTATTAAATCAAAATACCTACTAAGCAGGGCCCCCAACCTCTATTTTCAAGGGATTCTTTATCATTCATTCCAGTACTTGTGCAGACACTAGAATTTGAAAACCACTGGTTTACCATAGGAATTTACTGATAAAATGCTAAGGCATTTAGGTCTCGAGTTCTTACAAAAATTATCAAATTTTTCTGAAATAAAGACCAAAGATTTTAGTAATCAAAATATTTTGGAAATATGTATTTTACTTGAAATAGTTTAAAATTAAAAGCCTTTAAACACAAACACAAAAGTAACACTCTTTTTAAAATCACTTACCTGAGCCGGGTAATTCCTGGAAAAACCTAAACACTACTACTGGAGAACTGAGCTCATCTTCCACCTGAAAAATAGAATCTGACATTACCCAGTAATATCACATTTCATACACTTACAAAATGAAACAGAGTTTGAAAAACCGGCTAGAGATTTTATATTTTCTTTCTTTCTTTCTTTCTTTCTTTCTTTCTTTCTTTCTTTCTTTCTTTCTTTCTTTCTTTCTTTCTTTTTTTTTTTTTTTAATATATTTTATTGATTTTCCACAAAGAGGAAGGAAGTGGGATAGAGAGCTAGAAATGTCAATGAGAGAGGAACATCGACCAGCTGCCTCTTGCACACCCCCTACCAGGGATGTGCCCGCAACCAAGGTACATGATCTTGACCGGAATCGAACCTGGGACCTTTCAGTCCAAAGGCCGATGCTCTATCCACTGAGCCAAACCGGTTCTGGCAATCCATTAATATTTTAAAGTTAGGGGGACTTAATAGGATGAATAAGCCCAATAAGGAAACAGGAAGAAGTGTGTCAAAATTCTATACCCATTCTCCCATCCTCAGGATAAGGCAGATTGATTCGAGTGCCAAGACTTTGGGTGAAACCGGTTTGGCTCAGTGGTAGAGCGTCAGCCTGCGGACTGAAAGGTCCCGGGTTCGATTCCGGTCAAGGGCATGTACCTTGGTTGCGAGCACATCCCCAGTAGGGGGTGTGCAAGAGGCAGCTGGTTGATGTTTCTCTCTCATTGATGTTTCTAGGTCTCTATCTCTCTCCCTTCTTCACTGTAAAAAAATCATTAAAAAAAAAAAAAAAGACTTTGTATATATAGGCTTTTAAAATTTTATTTCTTTGAGCTCAATGGTCTTAAATGCCAGTGTGCATAAGAAATACTGTACAGGGTTATACAGTTGACCCTCCATACCTATGGGCTCCATATCCAAGGATTCAACTAACGGGATCAAAAATGTTTGGGAGCCCAGATAGAGTGACTCAGTGGTTGAGTGTTGACCTATGAACCAGGAGATCACAGTTTGACTTCTAATCATGGCACAGGCCTGTGTTGCGGGCTTGATCCCCAGTAGTGGGTGTGCAGGAGGCAGCCAATCAATGACTCTCTCTTCATTGATGTTTCTCTCTCCCTCTCCCTCTCTCTTCCTTTCTGAAATCAATTAAAAGTACGTATTTTTTAAAAAGCTATTTATAATACTTCAAAAACGGATCAAATTTTATACTATACCAAAATTTTGATGTGATTCACTTTCTTCAAACTTTCTTGCAACCGTTGACTCTGTAAATAACAAAAATAAAAAACACGTTAAGTAATTCTATTACATTGACAAGAACATATTAAGAAGCAATTTTCATGAATTCTTTGCAGGGTTGCAAAAAAGGATCTTGTGCATATAAAGCCCTGGTATCTGGAATTTATTTTCTACAACTGAAACTCTGTAGCCTGGAGCCAAGCCAAGCCCCATACTTGCTCAGTGGCTGCCCTATTTGAATTTGTTTACCACCTATAATTGCAACTTTGTTTTTTTTTGTTTTTTTTTTCTTGTAATTTGGCTATTTGGCAATATCTGCCAGTTGTTTTTTTTTTTTTTTTAAATCAATCTTTATTGTTCATATTATTACAAAGGTTACTCATTTCTTCCCCCCTCCACCAGGTTCCCACCCCACCCTCCGCCCCTCCCCATCCCCCATTGTCCTCATCCATAGGTACACAGTTCATGTTCAGTCTCTTCTTCCCTCCCTTTCCCCAATAGTAAATCCCTTTTCAGATAGTAAATCAGTTACTTAGCATTTTCTCAAATCAATAATACCTCCACATGCCCAATGATACACTTCACACAAAAGACATTTCCCAATAGGTCCACCAGCCTCATCCAGGCCCCACTCAAGGCACTCACAGATCAACACCCCAGACCTAAACTAACTCAACACATCCAGATCTAAGCCTTCATCACTTGATTCAGCAGACCCTCAAGTTCCCACGAAAGTTTCCAGCCATGTCTGAGAAGCAGCCGTGGGGGCAGGGGCAGGCAAAAAGCGAGCTGTTCCGGGCCTGGCTGCTCAGGGCCTGGCCTCTGTTGCTCTGGTTCATTCCACAACCAGCTGCTCCGGGTCTGGTCACTGCCGCTCCTGACCTAGTTGCTCTGGACTTGGCTGCTGCTGCTCCGGGCCTGGCCGCTCCCAGCCTGGCAGCCGCTGCTCCGGGCCTGGCCGCACCCGACCGGCTGCTCCGGGCCTGGCCACTCCCAGCCTGGCAGCCGCTGCTCCGGGCCTGGCCGCACCCGACCCGCCTGCTCCCCCGGGCCTGGCCGCTCCCAGCCTGGCAGCCGCTGCTCCAGGCCTGGCCGCACCGACCCGCCTATAATTGCAACTTTGTATCCTTGAGTGGAGGCCTGGGCCAGCCAGGGTGTGTGGAAAGCTTGGCTTCCTCTATTGCCAGGGAAACCCAAGCCTCTCAACTGCTCTCTGTGGCTGCAGCCATCTTGGTTGGGGTTAATTTGCATACTTGCTCTGATTGGCTGGTGGGTGTGGCTTTGTAGTGGAATGATGGTTAATTTGCATATTACTTTTTATTATGTAAGATTTTATTTTAATCCTCATCTGAGGATATTTTCCCCATTGATTTTTTTTTTTTTTTTTTTTTTTTTTTTTTTTTTTTTAGAGAGAGTGGAAGGGAGAGGGAGAAAGAGAAAAGGAGGGAGTGAAGACAGAGGGAAAAAAAGAGAGAGAAGTAGCAATATGGGAGAGATACATTGACTTGCTGCCTCCCATATGCATCCCAACCAGGGCCAAGGATTGAGCCTGCAAATGAGGCATGTGCCCTCAACCAGGAATTGAACCTAAGACTATTTGGTCTGTGGGCTGACACTCTAACCACTGAGCAGGACCAAAGATTTACTTTCTTTTTTTAAATATATTTTATTGATTTTTTTACAGAGGAAGAGAGAAGGATAGAGAATTAGAAACATTGATGAGAGAGAATCATTGATCAGCTGCCTCTTGCACACCTCCTACTGGGCATTTGCCCGAAACCCAGGTACATGCCCTTGACCAGAATCGAACTCAGGACCTTTCAGTTCGCAGGCTGACGCTCTATCCACTGAGCCAAACCGGTTTCAGCCAAAGATTTACTTTTAAACCTATTATAACTTATTATGTGATTAGGCACTACTGTAAGAGCTTTATATGCATCAATTCATTAAGTCCTCATAACAGTACTCTGTTATATCATTATCCCTATTTACAGGTAAGGAAACAGGTATAGAGAGGTGATGTCAGGCTTTTAGACTTTGGTAGGACTCCGCTCTCAAACTGAATAAATATTTTTTTTTGCTTTCTAAACTTCAGCATTTATAATAACAGAAGGGTAATATGCAAATTAGACTGGATGTCTTCTGGACATCATTTTGGACGATCTTCCTGATGAAGCCGGGCCCCAAGGGAAGCCAGCCCGAGACATGGGTGCCTGAGGGAGGCCCGAGGGAAGATAGCCTGGGTCTCCAGTGCCTGCTTGAGGCCGGAGGGAGGAAGCAGCCCAGGTGCTGGACGAAAGCCGGTGCCGGCAGCCAAGGGAAGGGAGGCCTATCTTGCATGAATATTTGTGCATTGGGCCTGTACTCTTATATAATAAAAGCCTGATATGCTAAGTGTTCAGCTGACCAGTCGGCCTTTCAGCCATCAAAGCACAATATGCTAATGATTTGCTAAGGCTGCTCAACCACTTACTATGATGTGCCTTGGGCACCACGGGGAAGACACTCTCTTCATTGATGTTTCTCTCTCCCTCTCCCTCTCTCTTCCTTTCTGAAATCAATTAAAAGTACGTATTTTTAAAAAAGCTATTTATAATACTTCAAAAACGGATCAAATTTTATTGGGCCTGTACTCTTATATAAGTGGTCGATTAGCTTGCTGCTGGGGTCCAGCCAATCAGGACTGAGCGAGACAAGCTGGGAGTCCTCCCGTGGTCCCTCCCTGGCTGGCCAACCTCCCACATCACTCCCTGGCTTCAATTATTCATCAGTCGGGTCCCTTGTCCTGGCCTGTGCCCTCTTGCAATCTGGAACCCCTCAGGGTATGTTGGAGAGCCAATTTCAGCCCAATTCTGCAGGGCAAGCCGAGGGACCCCATTGGTACATGAATTTGTGCACTGGGCCTCTAGTAATTATATATTTTTCAAAATTAGAACACCTCAAAGAGAAACAGAATTAAAATTGTTCCTCAAAGTCTTGCTATTAGAGAACTCAAGCCAGATGATGTTAAAAATGTACATGCCATCTATAATCAATCCTAACCATCATATTCCTTTACCCTCAAGGATCAGTCAGTCAAGTGGAACATTTATGCCCCTTTCTGCATCCTTTTCCACTCTGTGGCTGTCCTCTTGTGACTTTTTCCCTCATTCATTTAAAAAAATATATATATTTACTGAATTCAGAGAGGAAATGAAGAGAGAGAGAGAAACATCAATGATGAGAGAGAATCACTAACTAGCTGCCTCTTGCACATCCCCCTACTGGAGATTAAGTCCACAACCTGGGCATGTGCCCTTGACTGGAATCGAAATTGGGACCCTTCAGTCCACAGGCCAAAGCTCTGTCCACTGAGCCAAACCAGCTATGGCAGTGGTCGTCAAACTCATTAGTCAACAGAACCAAATATCAACAGTACAATGATTTGAAATTTCTTTTGAAAGCCGAAAACTGACTTCTGCGCATGGGCCATGAAGTTTCAATTGCACTGTACGTGCGCACCCACACGTGGTATTTTGTGGAAGAGTCACATTCAAGGGGCGAAAGAGCTGCATATGGCTCGGGAGCCGCAGTTTGCTGACCACTAGGCTAGGGTGACAACAGCATTCATTTTAATCAGATTTCATATGGACAAAGATGCTGGGACAACCTCATCAGTCTCTCCTAGAACTTTGAACAAGAAACATATGCAGAGCTATGAATCCACTTGCTTATGAACAAGAAATCCAGGCAAGGTATTGGATGGAGAGTAAATTAAATGACTGAAGTATTTTTCTGACTCTGCTTTGCCATGGAGTATTATTTGTGACTCATTTAAACTTCAGATTTCTACTCACCAGTTGGCAGGCATGCTTAATCCTCTCCACAATCCCATCAAGACCCAAGTACTGTAAAGACAACCACAGTGGCAGGGCACGGAGTTTGTCTGCTGGTTTATTTGATGTGAGACCGGCAACTAAAATCTAAAAAAGCCAATATGAGTTTTTAAACAAAGTCAATGAAAGCATATAACAGAATTAACTAGATACCATTTACTAGGCACTTAGTATGGGTCAGATGCTATGCCAGGAACTTGGCTTGTATTATTCATTTAATCATCCAACAACTCTGTGAAGTAACTATTCCAAACAACTTAACTCAGAAACCTTGCTTTGCCCGAGATTTCATGTCTAAGATGTGACAAAGCCAGGATGAGGATCTGAATGAGTCATATCCCAGGGCCGGAGCTCTCAGGCAACCCCTTCCAAGGTTGTTCTGATCGTCCTCAAATACTTGGTCCTTACCAATTGGGCAAGACATCAACTGTTGTAGCAAGAATCACTTAAAGCTTGTTTTGCATGAGCCTGTCACTAACTGATCACTATCAAGACCATTCCTCTACAACCTTCCAGACAAGGTGACCTAAGCACTTGCACCACTCCGACAGGAATGCCACTTCTGGGAACCTATTCTAAGGAAATAATTTGAAACACAGAAAGATGCTCATTATTTCAATAACAAAAATTTGAAAACATCCTAAAAGTTCACAAATGGAGAACGATTAAATAAATCGTAGTATTAAAGTAATAGAATATTATGTAGTCATAAGACATCATGTGTTCTTTATACACACAGGGAAGTATGGGAAGAATAAGTAGAAAAAAAAATTCATGTGGTACAGTTTCACTTCTGTTAATAATAGTTTTTGAGAGTAAAAAATCACAGAAGAGCCGACACCGGTTTGGCTCAGTGGTAGAGCGTCGGTCTGTGGACTGAAAGGTCCCGGGTTCGATTCCGGTCAAGGGCATGTACCTTGGTTGCGGGCACATCCCCAGTGGGGGGTGTGCAAGAGGCAGTTGGTCGATGATTCTCTCTCATCGACGTTTCTAACGCTCTATCCCTCTCTCTTCCTCTCTGTGAAAAATCAATAAAAATATATTTAAAAAAAAAAAATCACAGAAGTGACATTAAGGGAACTTTTCACTTTTTCCTTTGTTTTTCTGTGTTTTTGCCCCCAGAACCAATAATGATTATGAGCACTCCTTCTCAGTAAGAGTAAGCTTACCAAGGCAGGATCATCGTGTTTATAAAGAGTGACTGCAGGAACTGCTGGCAAACCCAGCCACGGGCCTGGAGTCAATGTCATGCTATCACATTTGGTTGCAGCCTACCAAAGAGAGAATAGCTTTTTGTTAGACAATTAGAATACATGAAACCCAACACCCTCCTGCATTCATAAAAACCACGAAAGCACCAGGAATTAAAAGATTTAAAATTCCTTCTTTAAAATTCAATATTTGGTAAATCAACAACATACCAGCACTGACGAGGAGACATAACCCAGAGCCAATGTTGCTAGATTCACACTGGAAGAAAAAAAACACACCAATCTAAGAATGAATCCTTTACTGCTTATTCACTAAGTATGCATTTAAAAAGGAGCGAGAGCCGAAACCGGTTTGGCTCAGTGGATAGACATCAGCCTGCGGTCTGAAAAATCCAAGGTTCAATTCTGGTCAAGAGCATGTACCTTGGTTGCGGGCACATCCCCAGTAGGGGTGTGCAAGAGGCAGCTGATCGATGATTCTCTCTCATCGATGTTTCTAACTCTCTATCCCTCTCTCTTCCTCTCTGTAAAAAAATCAATAAAATATTTATAAATAAATAAATAAATAAATAAATAAATAAATAAATAAATAAGTGAGAGACTCTGCTATCTTTCAGCTGTGTTATTAGCTTTATAAGAGCAACAGAAAATGTGGTACCCTGTTTCCCCGAAAATAAGACAGTGTCTTATATTTTTTCTCCCAAAGTTGCGCTAGGTCTTATTTTCAGGGGATAACTTATCTTACCATGCGCTTGGTCTTATTTTCGGGGAAACACGGTACATACAAATTTCAGGAATACCTTGAAAATCCATTTTAATCAAAATGTAGTTCAGGGATATTTCCTGCTTATTTGGTGTGATGGGTCTTGTATCTCACAGCTATTACTATCCAGTCATCTTCCCCAGAGGAATAAAATAAAGAAACCTACCGTGCATGATGTGCTGGGTAAGGACTACTTTGGTTACCCTGCGTCCTCTCCCCGTCTTAGCAGCACTCCAATGACTTTCTGGGAAATCACCCCAATCTCCTTTATTAGACCACAGCTTTGGGCAGAGGAGATACCACCACCGGCTCCAGAGGTGGGCAAATAACCTAAACTACATTTCTCTGGCTACAGTGATTGGTTAGATATTTTTCCTTGGGCTTCTGACCTACTGAACACAAACTGGAAAAAAGGCTGGAGCTGCTGCAGCTACTCTGGACCATAACAGGAAAGTCTATCTATAGATGAGCCAACACAAAAGATATTAAACCAAGTGATTGATGGTGGAGGTGTCGGGGAGGGGAGAATGACACACTGACTCCTGATTGATGATGTGCCTAAAGCCAATCCTAACACTGTTTTGTTGTTAGTTATATGAACCAATAAAATCTCTTCTCACTTAAGCCAATTTGGGTTTTCTCGTTATTTGCAACCCATAGAGGCCTTAGCAAAAAATGTCATGACAAAGTGAGAATGGTGTGCAGACCACTCATGGAGCCAATCCCACTTTCCACTCACCCCTCCACATGGAGCCATATGCCATACTGCTCACAGAGTTCTTTCAAACGCCCAATCTTATCTGTGTGTCCTACTGCTGCAGTTCCTAGGATAAAGCACACACACAAAAAGATACTAAAAGGAACAAATATTTTCTGAGTCTTTAAAGCATGATTATATACATTATACCCCTGTGACTGAACATTGTATCTGTTTTATTAAGATTTTCTTGTCTAGCCGAAACCGGTTTGGCTCAATGGATAGAGCGTCGGCTTGGGGACTGAAGGGACCCGGGTTCGATTCCGGTCAAGGGCATGTACCTTAGTTGCAGGCATATCCCCAGTGGGGAGTGTGCAAGAGGCAGCTGATCGATGACTCTCTCTCATTGATGTTTCTTTTTTTTTTTTTTTGATTTTTTTTTGCCTCCCTCCCTCCCTTCCACACATACCCTCCCTCCCCAGAGTTTTATGTCCATTGGTTGTACTTATATGCATGTATACAAGTCCTTCAGTTGATCTATTATCTCCCCCAGATCTCCCTCCCCTCCCCACTGTAATTTGACAGTCTGCTTGTTGCTTTACTGTCTCTATATCTATCTTTTGGTTCATCAGTTTATAATGTTCTTTATTATCCATAAATGAGTGAGATCATGTGGTGTTTTTCTTTCATTGATTGGTTTATTTCACTAAGCATGATGCTCTCCAATTCCATCCAGGTTGCTGCAAATGATGTCTCTCTCATCAGTGTTTCTAACTCTGTCTCTCTACTTCCTCTCTGTACAAAATCAATAAAATATATTTTTTTAAAAATAAATAAATAAAATATTTTCTTGTCTAGCCAGTTTGGCTTAGTGGACAGAGCGTCAGCCTGCGGACTGAAGGATCCTGGGTTCCATTCTGGTCAAAGGCACATGCTGGGGTTTCCAGCTCGATCCCCAGTAGGAAGGAGCGTGCAGGAGGCAGCAATCAATGATCCTCAACATTGATGTTTCTATCTCTCTCTTCCTCTCCCTTCCTCTCTGAAATCAACAAAAATGTATTTTTTTTTTTTTTAAAAAGATCTTTGTGGACTGGCTTAAAATCACCTTTTGCAAATTGATGATTCAAGTTTTGAAGAGTATGTATTCTTTATTATATGTATCTATAAAAAAGCTTGTAAATTGTGTTATTTCAATCCCCTATATACTCTATATACTTAATTTTCTATATACGTGGTTTGTTGTTTCATGAGAAGTATATTGAAGCCTCCGACCAAGATTGTAGGCTTGCCAATTTATACTTATATTCTATCAATTTTTCCTTTAGTCTGCCTTTACATATTTCAAAGTTATGTTCATAAGTGTTCATAACTATTATCTCTTAAATTATATAAATTAAAATTAATATGAAGTCTACTTTATCTCACACTAACACTGCTTAAGTACTTTTGTTCTGTTAGCATTTGTCCCAGAATAGTCTGTTCTACCCTAACTTTTTGTCACTTTTGGGCTATTTTATATTTAGGTGTATACTGAATTTGAGATGTTTTCAACCAAATTTGGAGGTTCTTCATTTTAATATAGAATATGTGTTTTGAAGTCAGCTTGAACATATTATATATTTTAACCCATCCCTTTGGTAATTAGTTTACACTATAGCTTTTATTGGACAAATCCCTCTTCTCAGATCATAAGTAAAATACAGAGTCAAGTATTCTCCCAACTATCTTAAATTTCCAGTAAGCAGGATCCCACCTAATAAGATTTTATACCCTTACCAACTGCCTCAACACACTCGCAAGTGACACAAGTGGTTCTTGTTCAGGGTTTATGCTAGGAAAAGGGCTGAAAACTGTTTCCCTACATACAGCTTTGTCTCAATTGACATAAAATCTTGACATAATTGTTTAGTTGAAACAACAACAAAGGCCAATGCATGGCCTGTGTCACATGACCCATCAAAACATAAAGCAGAGTGCTATGTTTTAGTGACTTAACTATATTCAGATTCTCTTTTTAAGTTTTTCTGGGAGTGTCTGCTAGCTAACCTCTGCAATGTGTATTTTGGCGACAGCCGTGTAATCATATTGGTAAATCATTCAGTCATGTGTAAACTGTAGCCTCTCCCATCTATCAAATGATTGAATATGGGTGGGTTTATTTTTGAAGATATGACATGCTAAATCAGGCAGGAAGTGGTGATTTTCTTACTAACAATAAGGTAGATATACATTTTTCTGTTTATTACTATTTTTTTAAATACAGTTGGCCATATGTATCTGAACCCACAGATTCAATCAACTGTGAATTTAAAATATTCAGGGAAGAAATCCCAGAGAGTTTCAAAAAGCAAAACTTGAACCTGCCACACACCAAGCACTATGCTGAATGCACACAAATGAAGGGATATGGAGGCATATCCTGCTGTAGCATATATGTTATACGACTTTATACAGGGACTTGAGCACCTGTGAATTTTGGTGTCCAAGGAGAGCAGGGATCCTGGAACTTATCCCCTCTGGCCAAGGGACAACTCTAATTAGCTTTATTGATTGAAGTATAACTTACATGCAATAAAATCCACTCATTTTAGTGTACCGTTCAATGAATTTTGCCAAATGTATCCAGTGTGTAACCACCAACACATTCAAGGTAGAGAATACTTCCATCACCCCAAAAGCTCCTTGTATCTTCCCCCCACTCCCAAGGTGTCACTCTTTTCTCTGCTCCCCACTGGCCACAGCCCTGACCTGTTTTCTGTCACTGTATTTTTGTCCTTTTTTTTTTTTTTTTTTTTTTTTTTTTTAAGAATTTCATATCAATCATATGCTATATAACTTCTGCCTGGCCTTTTGCAGTTAGCATGCTTTTGAAATTCATCCCTGTTATGTATATTAGTACTATTCCTACATACTGCTTAACAGCCCACGAGATGGATACAACCTGTTTATCCATTCACAAGGTATAGGACACCTGGATTGTTTCCAGTTATGAGTTTGCATACAATTCTTTGTGTGGACATATGTGTTCTTTTCTCATTGATAAATACCTACAAATGGGACTAATGGATCATATGCTAATTTTATGTTTAACCTTTTGAGGAACTGCCAAACTGTTTTTCCAGAGGTGCTGTAACATTATCTGCTCCCTACCAGCCGTGTATGAGAGTTCCGGGTGTTTTGTGTTCTCATCAGCATTTAGCACTGTATTTCTTTTTTCTTTCTCTCATTCTAGCAGATATGTAATAGTAGCTCATTGTGGTTTTAATTTGTATTTCACTAATAACTAATGATGTTAAGCATCTTTTAAGTGGTTAAACATTCATATATTTTCTTTGGTGAAGTGTCTATTCAAATCTCTTGTTCATTTAAAAAATTATATTATTTGTCTTCCTAATACTAAATGGTAAAACTTATGTATTTTGATCAAGTCCTTCATCAAAAAAAAAAAAAAAATGTTTTGCAAACATTTCTCCCCAGTCTGTAACTTGCCTTTTCATTTTCTTAACAGATAGTATATCTTAAGCAGCATAAGTCTTTAATCTGTGATAAAGTCCAACTTATAGGCTCATGCCTTTTGTGTCCTAAGATATCTTTCCCTAATACAAGATCACAAGATCTTCTATATTTTCTTCAAGAAGTTTTAGTGTCATGGCTCATATGTCTAGGTCTATGAACCATTTATAATTAATTTTTGTATACAGAGTGAGGTAAAGATTAAGGTTCAATCTTTTTTCCACATGGATATCCAATTGTCCCAAGACTACTGGTGGAAAGACTATCCTTTCTCCCTTGAATAACCCTGGCATCTTTATAACTATAAGTGATCATATACCTGTGAGTCTATTCTCTTCAATTAATCACTCTCTCTTTATTAGGACTAGCTTATAATAAGTCTAAAAGTCAGATAGGATAAGTCTTCCAATTTTGTTCTTTTCAAAATTATTTTGACTATTCTTAGATCCCTTGTATTTTCATATAAATTTTAGAATCAGCTTATCAATTTCAGTAAGATTCACCAATTTCTACAAACTGTGCTGAGATTTTGATTTGGATTAAGCTGAATTTATAGATTAATTTGGTGAGATTTAATTTAATAATATTGAGTCTTTAATCATGCACATGACATATAATTACATTCATTTGGGTCTTCTTGAATTTCTCCCAGCAATGTTTTGTAGTTTTCAGTGTACATATCTTGCATTTATTTCTTAAACTTATCCATGAAGTTCTCATTTTTTTTTTTGATGCTATAATGGATGACATTTTAATTTCAATTGTTCATTGTTAGTATACAAAATTCTGCAATTTTAATAGATTCGATTGGTTCCAATGGCTTTTCTTTGATTTCCTTACAACTTTCTACCTGTAAAATCATGCTATTTGCAAGTAAAGACATTTGATTCTTTCCAATCTCTATGTTATTTAATTATTTTTCTTATTTATTAGACTGTCTAGAACAGCAGTCACCAACTTTCAGGACCTCATGGATCACCAGTGGTCCACAGACCAGCAGTTGGCAACCACTGGTCTAGAACTTCAAGTACAATGTTAAACACAATACGGTAAGCAGAGCAGCTGCTGTCTACAAGGTGCACATTTAAGTATGACATTTCAAAATTCAACTTAGGAAAGAAGCACATGAAGAAAGGAGTAAAGAATCCTTACAACCTTAATGAGAAGATATACACGCAAAAGTAGCTTCTATAACAAATCAACAATTAAAGGGAATCAAATGAGCCAACTTTACTATTATAATTCTTACCACAGAACTCATACAGACTATATTAAGCGTGTGGCACACAAACATTTCTTAAGATTTGGTCTTTTTTAGATTAAGTACTTAGCCTCTCTCTTCTATTTTCAAAATGTGAGATTCAGGTTCATGTTACCTACCAGCATTTGCAACAAGCAACAGGGGCAGTTTTCCTCGATCAATATCATCTTTAATCAGTTTTTCCAGGAGGGCAACATCCTGAGATTAAAAAATAAATCATAAAAACATGAGGCAACCAGCATAAAAGTTATTCAGTGAGAATTACAACTTCCAAAAGAAGTACCTGACTCTCAAAATCAATCAATTCTTGACAATTTTTCTAGTTTCTCTAGTCATAGATGTTAAAATCAAATACTTTTCCTGAAGACTAACTAGAAAAATCAGTTAAATGTTATTAGTTAAAAAGTGCATATATATAGAGTCAATATTTTATTGTTTTAAACATGTATGTTTAAAGAAACTGTTCTCTCAACTATCAATAAAAAATATATCTCTAATATTACTCATTAATGCATCTGAATTAACGTATAGAAAATCCGACTATCTAGAAAAAAGAAATGCAGAAAACCAAAACCTATCCCTTTTGCTCTGGCTTCAGTATGCATGGGAAGATCAAAGCAATAAATGAATAAGCTAAGAATTATCTGGAGGGCAGCAAACAAAACTTCAGTTAAAAGACAGTTTCAAAACACAGTTCCATATTACATTACAAACCAAAAGGAGAACTCACCATCTGATGCTGAGATCCAAACATAGTGTTACAGGGCACACGAGACAAGCAGGGGAAGGGTAAGCCAAGCTGTAAGAAGAAGCATAGAGTTTTACAAGAAAACTCCTTGTCACCATTCACTTATGCCCTCAAAGAATTCTAACTCCACCCAGCCTGTCTTGCTCAGTGGTTGAGTGAGGTCACGGTTTGATTCCTGATCAAACCAGGTACATTCCCAGGTTGTGAATTCAATCTCCAGTGGGGGACATGCAAGGGGCAGCCTATTAATGATTTTCTCTTATCATTAATGTTTCTATCTCTCTCTCCCTTTCCCTTTCTCTCTGAAATCAATAAAAATATATTTTAAAAAAAGATTGTGGCTCCAAGACAAGTCATAATTATTCTTTGTAAGCAATCTCTGTTCTTAGGAAGTCTTATTATAAATAGATGTTAAAATACATCTAGAAAGCTAAGCCAAAAAAAGGGTGAATTTCCAGGAGTTGAGATGTCTTATAAGAGGCCAGAGACAATGTAAAGTTTTCTAAATTCTATATACCAAAAAACACTTACAAACTGGAAACAAGTGAACCCTGAGCATTTGGAAGGATAATTTCAGTGTCCTTCCTCCAAACATTAGTAGCACCAGTTAAAGGCATTCAAAAAATACTTTATTTATGGGCCCATCCACTCCTAAAAATCAATAAACATGGACTTGCAGAGAAATGAAGTCAGTGTTATAAAGATATCAATTATCATGTTTTATATTTTTCACTTTTAGCTTTCCAAATCCCCCCTACCCCCTCCCCTGGCTTCCAAATTCTTGAGGAGTTTATAGTTTTAGAAAAATTTTAACAGTTTCAGTCTATTGTTCTATATAACTAAACTTGGTAGAATTTAAAGACCAAAAATTTGCCCTAGCCAGTTTGGTTCACTAAATAGAGAATCAGTCTAGGGACCAAAGGGTCCCTGGCTCCAGTCAGGGGCACATACCTCAGCTGCAGGCTCCTCCTCAGCCCAGGCCCTTGTCAGGGCATGTGCAGGAGGCAGCCAATCGATACGTTTCTCTCTGTCTTTCCCTCTCTCTTCCACTCTCTCTAAAAAGATCAATGGAAAAATATCCTCAGGTGAGAATTAACAACAACAACAAAAAAATAAAGACAAAAAATTTAACAAGCACTTTATCCACACTCATTCCCCTTAAAGGATTTATCTTTTAAATTATGAAAATGAAACCCAAAGAAAACATACAATAGAGAAAGAGAGAAAAATTAAAATGCTCCACATAAAGCACCAATCTCCAGTAAACAGGTTAAAATGTAACCTTCCAGATATTTTCTAGATAAAAGTATAGTTATATATTTTTCTAGTTCTAAAAACACTCATATAAGCATGTAAACACTTTTTTGGAACATGAACACATTAATACTGTTCCACCACTGCCTTCCTCACTTAACAGAATACTGTCACACATCTTTTGAAGATAGGACTGCTGTCCCAAGACGGCCTCAGGTCCATAAGAGCCTGGCCTATAGTAGTACTCAATAAGCAATTCAATATAATAAAGAGGTAACATGCAAATTGACCATCACTCCAACACATAAGATGGCCACCCCCAGGTGGTCAAAGATGGCTGCCCTCGTGTGGATATAAGATGGCCGACAGGGGAGGGCAACTGTGGGCCATCAGGCTAGCAGGGGAGGGAACTTGAGAGGGACCAGGCCTGAAACGGAGGGCAGTTAGAGGTGACCAGGCCGGCAGGGGAGGACAGTTGGGGGGACCCAGGCCTACAGGGGAGGGCAGTTGGGGGGAACCAAGCCTGCAGGGGAAGGCAGTTGGGGGGTAGGGGGGGTCCAGGCCTGCAGGGGAGGACAGTTAGGGGAAACCAGGCCAGCATGAGCAGTTAGCAGTTAAGGGCAATCAGGCTGGCAGGGGAGGGCAGTTAGGCGTTGATCAGGCTGGCAAGGGAGTGGTTAGGGGGTGATCAGACTGGCAGGCAGAAGCAGTTAGGGGCAATCAGGCAGATAGGCAGGCAAGTGGTTGGGAGCCTGAATTGTAAGAGGGATGTCCCAGATTGGAGAGGGTGCAGGCTGGGCTGAGGGACACTCCCCATCCCCCGTGCATGAATTTCATACACTAGGCCCTAGTTTATTTCATGTTTCTATATGGATATTACAAAACCCCACCCCCTTTTTTTTTTACACCCTCAAGAAGAGTACATTTCTTGCCATTAGTGAGCACAGCTCCAAATCAACTAAGTCCTTGAATTTCATCCATCTATCTCCCCACGGGTCCTTCATCTTAAAAAAGAAAACCCTTAAAAATTTTAAGGTTTTGCCTTAAAAACATTATTGGTCAAGAGATTTCATTTCTTTTCTCAAGCTAGCCCCCTAATTGGACTATGTGCACTATGAATTTTAAGAATGGAAATAATGCTCTTTATCTAGTAATTCTAGATTGACTCTGAAAGTCTATCTGAGAAATATAACCCTAAATACAGACAAAGCTTCATGCACAAAGATGTCCATAATTGCACCATGTATAATAGCACTAGAAAGCAAAAGGATGCAAACACTATTTGTCCAAAAGGGAAGCAATCAGTTAAAATACCACTATACCCTCACTATATGTTATGAAGACATTAAAAATAAGCTTTACTTCCCCTAACTGGTTTGGCTCAGTCACAGAGTGTCAGTCTAAGTACTGAAGGGGCCCAGGTTTGATTCTGGCTAAGGGCACATGCCTGGGGTGCAGGCTTGATCCCCAGTAGGGGGCATGCAGGAGGCAACAATCAATGATTCTCTCTCATCATTGTTTTTCTCTCTCTCCAGCTTCTCTGAAATCAATAAAAAAATATTTTTTAATAAGCTTTACTTTAAAGATATGCACCTATTAAGTGAAAAAAGTCAGATATAACCATGTGAAGTCTTTGATTGAAGTCTGGAAAGAAAGAAAAATGTTGACTGTGACTGATTGACTTTGGGTAACTAAAAAATTACATATCTAAATTCATTAATATACAATTATATGTTTTCTTATAATGACAAAACAAGCATATAAAGAACCCATCTTTCTTTTCATTTGAAAAGAAAATCAGCTAAAGAAATGGGTTTACACACTTTTAAAAGTTCCAGGATAGAATGAAACATCTAATCTTTAAAATGTCCATCTTATGCCACATTACCTGATTACAAAGATACTGGCCCAGGCCAGGCCTAGCAGCAGCACTAAGATATATGACAGGTTTCTTGTTATATAACACATTGAACCCATCCACCACAAAGTCTTCATAACGAGAATGAATGGCAAGTCTACAGATCTTTGCAAGTCCTTTTCTTTCATCTTCATGGAAATAAGCACAGCCATTTTCATACCTGTTAAGAGACACCCATATATTAATATGTTCTGGTCATATATTAATATCTCTGGTTAACTCTGATTTTATATTCCAGTTTTGTAATCAAGGAAGTAATTATTTTCTCAGCCTAAAAACTGTCACCTAGATCAGTTAAAGGAGATAGGAATCACCCTAATTTCTGATGGTTGACAACTCCTTACAGTTGACTGTTATAAGGAACAGTGACCCTTTGTCAGGGTCATTATAAGGACAATGACCCTTTGTCCAGCCCCAACTCCATAAAGAAAAGCAACAATTAAGATCAGTAGAGAACAGGAAGTTCCTCAAATATAAAAAGGCTGATCATAGTTTTGGCTTATTCTACGAGGAGGCTAGCACTGGGTAATGCAGGCATGGTTCCTGGAAGAGTTTTAGCCCTAAAACATCTACCGTAAATAGAACCGTCAATAACACTGGTCAGGCTAACTATTATCTACATGGAACCTTTTATTCTTCTTAATCTCCTAGAGAGGAAGGGAGAGAGACTTTCAATTACAGGTATTATATTTTTATTATAATGGAAGAAAATTTCTTCTTTACAATATAGTTAAGCAAACTTATATTCAAGCCAGGCCAACCTCTTTCCCAACATCTGAAAGTGAGTCTCCCAAGTTAAATGTTCCAATGTTAGGCAAACATTTCTTTTCCATAAAAGCAATAACAAAAATACAACTGGTCCAATGTCTTCTGCTGAATCCTTCACTTGCTATAATTCCTTAATAAGACCATCATTATCACAGTATAAAGCAAATTTCAATTTCATAACACACGCTCATCTTCCCTCTGACAGCATTTCCTTTCTACTAAAGCACAGGCTACTTTGATTAAAAATATTTTAATATGTTTCACTGCTCTACCTTCTATTGACATGTGCCAATAGCAATTCTAAAAATAAGGAACTGCTGACATTATCCAACATGCATGTGCTTATGTTCTGAGCTGTTTACATGTATTAATTCATTAGCTCATTTAATCCTCACAACAATGCCATAATATAGACATTAGTACTACCCCCATTTAGTAAATGTGGAAACTGAGGCATGAACAGGTTAAGCAACCCTTTTAAGACGAAGGGAAAGAGGCATATTTGAACATAGGTAGTATAGCTTCAGACAATATATACCCAACTCATTAATTATCTTTATTGGAAACAAAAGACTCATAATGTCTTTACCTGAAAATTCTGCACAGCCATAAGGTAGTGTCTGAAAGTATCCTAGTTGTAAGTTTTCTCAGCCTCTCTTTGTCCAGAGTTGAAATATAAGCTCCCAGACTATGCCCCAAAAGAGCTATATGACCTTGTTCTCCAATATTCTGGATTCTGTTAATCAAAATTCATTAGATTAAAAAAAGGCTTAGTAAAAATATTAAAAAATAAAGCTTTGAGAGACAGCATTCCAAAGAAATTTCTTTTCTTTCTTTTTAAAACCTCATCCAAGGCTATACATACATTTTAAAAAACATATTTTATTAATTGATCTCAGAGAGGAAGGGAGAGGGAGAGAGAGATAGAAACATCAATGATGAGAGAATCATTGATCAGCTGCCTCTTGCTCGCCCTACACCGGGGATCAAGCCTGCAACCTAGGCATGTGCACTAACCAGAATCAAACCGTGACTTCCTGGGTCATTAAGTCAGCGTTCAACCACTGAGCCACGTCTGCTGGGCAATCTATATACAAGTTTTAATCTTCACCCAATGATGAATATCTATATATAAATGATTTTTAGAGAAAGGAAGAGGGAGAAGGAAGGGGGGAAGAGAGAGAAAGAGAAAGGCAGACGGAAACATTGATGTGAGAGAAAAACATTGACTGGTTGTCTTCCAGATTAAACCCACAACCTAGGTATGCCCTGACTGGAAATTGAACCAGCAACCTCTTGATATGGGATGACACTCCAAACAACTGAGCCCTCAAGGGCCCACAGAAATTTCTGTCAGACTGAAAATCCACTTAATGGCTTAGGGCACAAATTCAGATAAATGTAGAAAATTCAATGCCTATAAAGTATTGACAGTCTGAGGAAAAAATATTTTAAATACTAATTCCTAGGAGATAAATATCCTTTTTATTGAATATCTACTAAATGAACAAATTGTGAGTAATTTTCTCCTAAATTTTTTTCTTAAAACTAAATACCAGCCATAAGAACTTTGTAGGGTAAAGCTAAATATGTAGAAAACCATTGTTTAAAGTATCATTATATGAAGATCAATTCCCCTCATTAGGTATTTATAACAATAATTTAGCAAATTCAAGGGAACTAGGTACTGTTTTGTATATAATTTAAATGTATGGACTAATTTCCTGTATAAAAAATAAGTCAATTTTAAAAGGTCAAAAAATCAAACAGGCTACAGTTGATAGAAAAGGAAATATAACTGGATGTTAAAAGATGCGAAAAGATACTTAACTTGGTTACTAAGAGAAATGCGAATTAAAATTATGCTGAAATATCATTTCTCACCTATCAGACTGGCAATAACCCTTAAGTCTAACACTCTTACAGGCAAACATGTGGGGAACAAGGTACTCTCATACTGGTGGGACCGTGAACTGGCACAGGTTCCATGGAAGAAAATTTGACAATAGCTATTAAAATTAGAAATACACAAACTATCTTGCCTAGGGATCCCACTTTAGAACTTTAATCTCCAGAAATATTTGCTTCTCTAAGAAATGATACATGTACAAAGTTAATGGCTGCAGCAATATTTATAAAAGGAGACTAGTTAAATAGAATATCCATTCAAAGTAAAATCAAACAGCTCTTTTTTAAAAATATATTTTTTTATTGATTTCATAAAGGAAGGGAGAGGGAGAGATAGAAACAGCAATGATGAGAGAGAATCATTGCTTGATTGCCTCCTTCATGACCACTACTGGGGACTGAGCCCACAACCCAGCATGTGCCCTTGACTGGAATCGAACCCGGGACCCTTCAGTCTGCGGGTCGATGCTCTATCCCCTGATCCAAACCAGCTAAGACCACATAGCTCTTAAAGGAGAAAACTCCTTGTGTATTGATATGCAATGAACTCAAAAGCAAGGTACAAAACAATGTGTGTGTACAGAATTTGTGTAATGTTTGGAGTAAGGACATTTTGCTTGTGTACACATATAAAATATCTCTGAGAAATACAAAATTGTCTGTCTCTAAGGAAGAGAACAATATAGAGAGGCTGAGGTAAGAAGGAAAACTGCCTTTGTATACCCTTTTATCTTTGAAATTTGAGCCAGAAAAATGCATTACTTATTCTAAAAAAATAAATTTAAAAGAATTAAAGATAAAATGAAACTGAATAGCTAAATAGATGAAAATAAAATAAAGCAAATGGATGATTCACAAGAATGCCCTGCTACCAATCAATTCAGCTGCAGCAATTCTTAGCAAGCAGAAGCACAAGTGCAGGAGCAGAAGCCATCAGAAGTAGGAAAGTGCACAGCAAATGTCCTTTGATCCTTTTGCCAGCCCCTCGCAAAGATGATACCATTAAAAATGTAGGATTTAGGGTTAGCAAATGCCTTCCCCTTTTATAGAATACATTATGTAAAATATGTAAATGTCTCTCTGAAAAGAAAAAAAATGAACATCCTCTTAATATCATATGAATGAAACATAGCTTATCATTTCAGCAACTTGCAAGAATGCAATCACTTTCAAAATCAAGAACACATTAATACTGTCACAGAGAAACTGCCAACCGTTCTCCATTACCGGGCACTCTGCGGCTCCTCATCTTCATCTCCGTGCATCAGATTCTGAACTAACTGGAGGATGCTCACCATATCTTGTCCACTGCAGAATAAAAGAAAGACTTGATGGACAGGTGGAAATAGCACATATCCCCCACCACTCCATCCTCTCATCCAAACCAGCTTTGGTAAGTTTTTGTAAGAATATGACTGAGATACAGTATACATCTTTTTAAAAAAACTCTCAAGTTATTAACTGGAATCTTGAATACAATCTTACTTGTGATTAATTAAATCTTATACTTAAATCTGAGATTGAAAATTTTTTAAAATATATGTTATTGACTTTTTTTACAGAGAGGAAGAGAGAGGGATAGATAGTCAGAAACATCAATGAGAGAGAAACATCGATCAGCTGCCTCTTGCACACCCCCCACTGGGGATGTGCCTGCAACCAAGGTACATGCCCTTGACTGGAATCAAACCCGGGACCTTTCAGTCCACAGGCCGATGCTTTATCCACTGAGCCAAACTGGTTTCAGCTGAGATTGAAATTTTTAAATTTCACCAATATTGCTTAAGAAACATTTATCTACCTGTTCATTTGAATCCTGGAAAATAAGCATGTCATAAGAGCCAAAATAGACCTTATAAGATGCTGAAGGTCACAGAAACAGCAAGAATACTCCAATGTCACTAGTATATCTAGTTTCCCACCATGTAGGCATCTTGTCTGCTGTTCTAACAGACTTAAACATGTAATGCAAGCATCATTTTTACCACTTCTTCCCCAAAATGGGAAACTGGAGATCTGCTTAGAGTATACCAGCAAACAGATTTACTTCTATTAAAGATACGTTACTATTATCACATGAGGTGGTGAAAACTTCTGGGAAGAATGTGAATGACTAATGTATTTAGCAATGTCAAATTGAGCACATGTAATGTGAAAATATTGCTCCATTAACAAGATTATGACTAATAAAAAGTTCTCTCTTCTGAAAAAGAAGCACTGTCAAAACAATGCCCCAATACCCAGCCTCCCCAAGGTGCAGACTTTCACTGGTCCTTGGACACAGTGCAGACATTTCCTACCGTTGTCCCAATAATGTAAAATAAAATGAATCATATACTTAAAAGTTATGACTTAAATTTATATTACAAATGATATGCTGTATACCTAGCCATAGGACTTGAGCAAGCTATTGAAACTCCCTAAGTCCTTACATTAAGAAATTGTAAGGATGTAATCAGACAGTGTATGTAAAGCATTTAAGGCTATGCCTGGCATAGTGCTATCTCAGGTGTTGGCTATTAACACTAAGTGTGAATATGCCTGGCCAGTAGCATTAATGCCCTCTCATTCTGAGAATTACAGATGGTCTTGGTGGTATCTCTTCTGGGAAAACTGTGGAATCAGTAGAACTCTTTAATTCCCTTCAGGAAATTTAATTCCCTGAGGAGATTTATAGGACTTGATTTCTGTTCTGACCTGTAAACAACACTGCATGCACAGCTTTAAATTCAGAAGGCTTCAAATCAACACCATTCAAACCCAGCCCATGTGGTTCAGTGGTTGAGTGTTGACCCACAAACCAAGAGATCACCAGTTCAATTCATAGTCAGGGCACATGCCCATGTTGCAGGCTCAATCCCCAGTAGGGGGTGTGCAGGAGGCAGCCGATCCACGATTCTCTCTCATTACAGATGTTTCTATCTCTCTCTCCCTCTGCCTTCCTCTCTTTGAAGTCAACAACAACAACAAAAAATTCAGCATCATTTAAGCTACAAGTAGGAGTGCCTATTTTAATATTGGTATCTGGGTGTGTTAGTTGTGACATTAATGGCACATTGTAATCCTTCCCTTCCTCCTCACTTCCCTTTGGCAACCTTATATTTATATTCAGGTCAAAGGACAATTTAAGGGAGTTGTAATGTTTACCTATGTGCAGTTTCCTGGTTATAAAAAAAAGCTTGTATGAAGGAACCTTGCATGAAATTTTAATTACAAACTGAGTACTAACATTCTGTGAAAATTTTAATTAGATACTTATTTTTCTGTCATTTTTCCTGTTAGCTCAAACCATAAACACTAGACAAATTTGTTTTCATTGTTAAAAAAGAAATTGCACTAAAACCGGTTTGGCTCAATGGATAGTGTCGGCTTGAGGACTGAAGGGTTCTGGGTTCGATTCTGGTCAAGGGCATGTACCTTGGTTGCGGGCATATCCCCAGTAGGGGGTGTGCAAGAGGCAGGTGATTGATGATTCTCTCTCATCGATGTTTCTAACTCTCTATCTCTCTCCCTTCCTCTCTGTACAAAATCAATAAAATATATTTTAAAAAAAAAAAGAAAAGAAAAGAAATTGCTCTGTCAATAAATGGTTAAAGTTGACATTTTCCTTTAATTTTACTGTATTATAAAAATAATAAATCTTATCAAATTAAAATATTCCTCATAATAATGCTCAGTATACCATGCAGATTACAGGTTTTAAAGATAAATTAAGTATGATAGTCAACTCATAATAATAAATTTGTGCACTGCTTTTGATTCATGATGTTGTGTTAAATTCTTTATAGGAAAGGGGAAGAAGCAGGCAGGCTTGACATTATCACCAACCAGACAACGGCATTTCAGTTTTCTACTTGTTACATTGCTTATAACTCTAAATTTGCTCTTTGTTCAGTAACACTAAAATTGTAAACCAATGATGATAAAATCTTGGTTTAAAGAATATGATTACCCAAACTAAAAGTACTTATCTTTATTTTCACCTACCTGCCTTGGAGTGGCCCTGGAATATCCCCTGATAGTTTTTTTCCATCTTCCTCCTCTGTTCTTCTAATTTAAAGGAAAATTAAAAATTATTAACTTTATCATATCAAATTTTTACCATTTGAGCATGCAAGCATGTGATGATCCTATATAATAAAAGCCTAATATGCTAAATGCCCAGGTGACCAGTCAGCCATTCAACCAAGCAAGAGTAATATGCTAATGATATGCTAAGGCTACTCACCCACTTGCAATGACATGCACTGACCATCAAGGGGCAGTCGACTGGTTGACCAGTTGCTAAGATGTGCACTAATCACAGGGGCAGACGCTCTGACCAATAGGTTAGCTTGCTGTGGTCCAGCAGATTGGGACTGAGAGAGATGGGCCCAACAGGTCCTGGAGCTTCTGGAACCTCCTGTGGTTCCTCCCTGAATGGCCAACCTCCCCCGTCCCTCCCCAGCCCTGATCATGCACTGGTGGGGCCCCTTGGCCTGGCCTGCACCCTCTCGCAATTCGGGATCCCTTGGGGGATGTCAGAGCGCCAGTTTCAGCTTGATCCCACAGGCTAGGCCAAGGGATCCCACTGGTGCACAAATTTGTGCACTGGATCTCTATGTTATCTATAATCTCTTAGTAACTGATGTAGAATTTAAAACACATTTATCACATCTCTCCCTCCCTGCTCATCCCTTGCCCCAGCCACCAATTTGGGGTATAATTTGAGTTTCAGGAAAAGAACATGAAACTCATTTCTTGGTTAGTTGATGCTTTATATGGTCTTAATTTACAATAAGAAATAGTTTCAAATCAATATATTAAGTAAATTAAGCTCTTAATAGGCAGAATTGAAAATTATAAGTCCTGCCCCTCAATTTAAAAGTCCTTTAATTACAAAGCATCTTATACCCAAAACAAATACCAAGTTCAAAGTCAGCAGAAGCTAAGTGTGACATTCTGAAACCCAGAGGTGTTTATAACAGCAGGAAACCAGTACCACCAGTTTCATAACAAACTGAACATGTTTAACAAGGTCACTTCTGTTCCACAGGCTCACCTCTGACTGTCCTCTAGCATCTTCATAGCTTCCTTCAAGTTTTTTCCCATTTCAGCTAACGTAGGATCTGCTATCTAGGAAACAAATTTTTTAAAGGTTCAACTTTGATAATCCCTACTACTTCTACAATACAATTCACCCAGAAAAACAAAACACATAAATTTATTATAAAGTACATGCTGGATTTAAAAATGCCAACAGCACAGCCTGGCAGGCACAACCCAGCCCACGTGGCTCAGTGGTTGTGTCGACCTATGAACCAGGAGGTCATGGTTTCAATTCCCAGTCAGGGCGCATGCCTGGGTTGAAGGCACCGATCCCCCAGTGTGTGTGTCAACCAACCGTGTCTCTCCCCCTCCCTTCTACTCCCTCTAAAAAATAAATGGAAAAATACCCTTGGAGAAGGATTAACAACAAAAAAGTCCACCAGTTCCTCTCCCCAGGGAAAGCCACTTTAAGTTTGATATTTATCTTTCCAAAATTTTACCTTACTTATATGCACCTCTGCAACTTGCTTCTTTTTCTTTTACTTTATAGTGAATATGGTTCCATGTCAGTGTGTCTATTTTATTTTTTTTTAGTGCTGACACCTTATTCCATTCTATGGATGTTCCATCATTTAACCAGTCCTGAATTAATAGGTTATTAATTTGGGTTATTCCAGTTTTTCACTCTTAGAAGGTTCAGAAAAGTGAATAGTATGCTGTTTATTTTATTGTTGCAGTAGGCTGAAAAATGGCCCCTCAAAAGTTATGCAGACCTAAACCCTGGAACTTATAAATGTTACCCTTTATTGCAAAACTTTGCAGATATGATTAGGTTAAGGCTCTTGAAAGGTCAAGATTACCCTGAATTATCCAGGTGGGCCCTAAATGCAATCACATGTACCCATATAAGAGAGAAGTAGAGGATGACTAAACACACACACACACACACACACACACACACACAAAAGCTATGTCAAGATGGAGCAGAGGGAGATATGAAGATGCTTGCCTCAACACTGGAGTGATAGGGCCACAAACCAAGGAAGGGGTGCTGGCAGGCAACATAAACTGGAACAAGAAAAGAAGGAACTCTCCCCTAGAGCCTCTGAGGTAGTGCAACAGCCCTGCCAATGGCTTGATTCAGCCCAGTGATGCAGACTTCAAATTCTGGGCTCCAGACTGTGACAGAACTCATTTCTTTTATTCTAAGACACCCAGTTTGTGCTAATTTGTTACAGCAGCCACAGGAAACTGAGACACTCATAAGTCTCTAAGTTCTCTATAAACTCTAGAAGCTCACACAAGCTGGTAAGAATGACTGCCTCCAGAGAAGAGAACTGAAAGATGGGCCTAGAAGTCAGGGGGAGGCTTTTTAGTCCAGACCCTTTTGTTTCTTTTGGATTTTAGTATCAAGTGTACATCTATCTCCCATCAAAAAATAAAACAAAATTTTAAAAATTCATGCAGAAGTAAAACAAACACTTCCCTTTTCCTTTTTTTCTTCTTAATCTCAATAGCATTTTTATTGCCTTGAATCTCTACATAATGTCAGCTGGTTATAAACACTTATAGAAGCTGTCTTATTCTGCTTTGAGTCTTGAAGTGAATGTATCTTCTTTTCTTATATTGCCTACAATATGTAGTAGTATCTTATTCGGAGTAGGTGTGCAATAAATTGAATTTGGTTTTACATCACCTCCTCACTGTGTGCCCTATTGCTACAACTCAAATTCTCCATCTGAGTCTCTCTTTATAGCACACACTCATTCAGTAGACTGGCTCACATTTAAATTGTTCTTTCTATTCTCGTTTAGGAATTGAAGTGGGGAGGAGGGAAGGAAGAGGAAAAACATTTACAATTAAATTTGAGTGAATTCCATGTGAATATGATTTGCCTCCAATGCTGTAAACACTCATGTGTTTGTTGTATTAATTGGATATCCAAAATATAAAATGTTATCTAGTTGCAGAAAAATACTAGTTCTAAGTCAAGAAGTGCTCTAAGGAAAATATATATTTACTAGTTGGTTCCTTAAAACTAAAAGCCATGCCTCCATAAGCTTCGAGGAAGGGCAGCCACTACTTGCCTATTTATAGTTCGTATCCACAGTACCTGTTACAGCGCCAGACAATGTATACAAGAGATTGATAAAGCATGCTTGGAAGCTGAGAAATTTTTCTAAGTGATTGTAGAGCGAAGTGTGACAATAAAAAAATCACACATTTACTTTCACATGAATAGGGATAAAAATAGTAACTCAAACTGTGAATTAAGACATTACTGTTTATTTTATTTTTTTAAAGGAAAGGAAGGACTAAAGGTGGCTAGGCTGTAGCATCAGAAAGCAGATCTAGGGTCCACTGAAAAGGGGCACAAGGGAGAGTTGAGAGTTGCATGAGTATCAGAATCCAGGATTAACCTTGTTTAGAAAGTTGTTGGAAGCACAGAAATTTGTAGCTTTATTGGATCACTTTGATCAGTTGAAGAAAGGTAGTGATTTTTTTTATCCATCTAATGCATACATTATAAGCTAGCATTTAGTAACACCAAGGTCTTCTGTCTGAGATGAGCAGCTGGTAGGTAGTCTCACACATTTTAGTTTTTCTTCTGTCAATAGTCCTGGAACCCTGTCCCCAAATCCTATTATTTTCCTCCCAGATGAAAACATAAACCATGCCTACTATTCAGCTCTACACTGTGTTCCCGAAAATAAGACAGTTTCTTATATTAATTTTTGCTCCCAAAGATGCGTTAGGTCTTATTTTCAGGGGATGTCTTTTCAGGGGATAAAGAAGAATACGGTACACATTTATTGTTAAATGAAAATAAAGGAAATTTATTACCTGTATATGGTATGGTAGTACGGTAGTTGTCAACACAAACCAGACAAACTGTGAATCCTACAGTATCAAGAATTTACTCATTTATTCAATGACAATCATGTCATCATCTTCTGGAACATCATCATAACAATCCAATTCCTGAATTTCCTGGTGAATTTCTTGTGACTCTATTTCTTTCAGAATCAGTGGACCAAATCTCTCATGTTTAGCCTAGGGGGGGCCTTATTTTTGGGGGGATGCCTTATATTTCACTCAGAAGGAAACCTGTAAGTAGGTCTTATTTTCAGAGGATGTCTTATTTTCGGGGGATGTCTTATTTTCGGGGAAACACGGTAGTACCCCAAATGTTACTCACCTTGAGAAGCAACAAGAATGCAGCAGTAGCTGCTCTAGGAACATAGCAGTTCCTCATGTGTCAAAGATGAGAGAAAATAACAGGAATTCTCTGGAAAGTTGATATAGTGCCTTGCAAACCTGGCTACCTTATAGAGGCTCAATTTATACATATTTTTGCCTGATTCAACAGAAAAGTATTTACTTAAGAACTAGGCACTTTTGTCTCTATCTTCTAAAAACTGGATACTCTTTAAAAATCTTATTTTTAATTTTCATGGACTCTATGCTTGAGTGTGTTTATGAGAATGTGAAGACACTGTAATTACTTAGCATCATAATATTCTTTGTTGAAAAAGATATGCAAATATTGCATAAGATGCTAATATCTAACCTTATGAATTCTTCAAAAAGAGAGGCAGATGATTGAAGATGTTAACTGCAGCCCCTTAATGAGAAAATAAAAGTTTAAAATTTTAAAAAAAAAAAAAAAAAAAAGAGAGAGAGAGAGAGAGAGAGAGAGAGAGAGAGAGAGAGAGGCAGAAAAGAATATGGAAAAAAATATACAACAGAAGTAAAAATCTAGTAGAGGTAAGGAGGCAGCAAAGTTAGTAACATTGCTCAACCCTGTCATAGAAGTATGTGGAAGGGAAAAAAAAGGGCATTCAAATTACTCGCCTTAAAATATGTACTGGGAATGCCTCTATCTCTGGAGAATTAATTCATTTAGACATATCATGAGTAAATGCTTCCCAGTAACTATGCAGATGAAAAATACCACACATCAGGCAAGCTCTATTTCAAAACATTCATGAGCTTATCTGGAATCACACACTTTTTCTGGAAAATAAAAACAAAAAATTGCTTAAAAAAAAAAAAAAAGCATGCCACAAAAGGAGGCATGAACATGCAATGGAGTCAAGATAGTCTCTTTAATAAATGGTGTTGGGAAAATTGGACAGATACATGCAAAAAAATGAAACTAGATCACCAACTTACACCATACACAAAAATAAACTCAACATGGATATAGGACTTAAACATAAGATGGGAAACCATAAAAATACTAGAGGAATCCATGGGCAGCAATATCTTAGACATATGCTGAAAGAACTTCTTCACTGATACTGCCCCTAAGGTAAAGAGGAAATAAACAAATGGGACTACATCAAAATAAAAAGCTTTTTTTTTCTTTTTTTTTTTTACAGCAAAAGAAACCATCAACAAAACAGCAAGAAAGCCCACTGTATGGGAGAACATATTTGCAAATGTTATCACTGATAAAGGTTTAATCTCCAACATCTATAGGCAGCTTATACAACGTAATAAAAGGAAGATAAATGACCCAATAAAAAAATGGGCAATGGACCTAAATAGAATCTTTTCAAAAGAAGACAAAAGGAAGGCCAAGAGACACATGAAAACATGCTCAAAGTCACTAATTATCCAAGAGATGCAAATCAAAACGACAATGTGGTACCATCTCACACCTGTCAGAATGGCTATTATCAACAAATCAACAAAAGACATGTGCTGGCGAGGATGCGCAGAAAAAAGAACTCTTGTGCACTGCTGCTGAGAATGCAGACCGGTGCAGCCACTGTGGAGAACAGTATGGAGTTTCCTCAAAAAAAAAAAAAAGAAAGAAAGAAAGAAAGAAAGAAAGAAAGAAAGAAAGAAAGAAAGAAAGAAAGAAAGAAAGAAAGAAAGAAAGAAAGAAAGAAAGAAAGAAAGAAAAGGAACTCCCATTTGACTCAGTGAGCCCACTCCTAGGAATATATCCTAAGAAACCAGAAACACCAATCAGAAAGGATATATGCACTCCTAAGTTCATAGCAGCACAATTTACAATAGCTAGGATTTGGAAACAGCTTAGGTGCCCGTCAGCAGATTGGATAAAAAAATTATGA